CTTAAACAACACACATATAGAGTAATACTTCAGTTACAATATGTTACATTCACTTATAAAATTATCGTGAATAAATAAGAAAATACTTGGGATCGGTGAATGGTTATAACATAAATAAATATGTATATATATAGACATACCCATAATGGAAGCTTATGAATTAAAAAAACATGAGACAAGATCACAGCAGGTTTATCTTTGTAATTACAATGAATATCAGTGGTTAACTCAGATCCAATCAGAGTCCAGTGATTGTTGGCATCAACCAATCAGAGTCCAATGATTACTGGCACCAGCCATTCAGAGTCCAATAAGTATTGGCATTAACCAATCATGAGCAAGCATCATTTGAACTGGAGGTAGATTTTTGCATATGGTTACTCAAAAGCTAGGACATTTCAGTTTGCATAAGAATGAGCAATAAAGTTTCACATTTATACTGGGCTGTCAGAATAATGCTTAAATCAATAAATGCAGTGTCAGTAATAGGGTCACACAAAAAATATCAAAGTGAAGAACAATATGAGTTGTTGGAAGATAAATCATGCTCAAAGTGATCCTTCAAAGGATCCAAATGTTAGCAGCAAATGAACTGTCATACCACTGTTTAGTAATCCTGCTAAAAATGTCTTCTTCTTTACGTTCACCAGCTGCAAACTCTGGTGGAAAGTTCTGGTTGTTCGTCCACTTCTGGACTGCAGTCCTGTTCCAGAACCCGAGAGTGCATCCGATTTACAGATCATCTGACACATTTCTGTGCAGACTCTTTGGTTCCTTGTCTTTCAGGCAGATGCATTCCGACTTTGAAGGAAGCTCCCAATTAGTTGACTGTTACGTCATGCTTTTGGGTTGGCAGTGGGTCTATTCTTGTTTTTTTCTACAATAGGGCCCCTGAACCCACACTGGGCGCTGAGAATTTGAAACTGCCAAAAGAACAAATTGTGGCACAACTTCCCATAATCCTATCAAGGATTTAAATTTGCTAATACATAAGTAAACTACGCCCCTATTTCCCATCATATAATCCTATTAAGGAAGCAAATTGTGGCACAATTTCGTATGATCCAAATGAGGATTTAAATTTACCACCAGATAAGTAAACTGTGCCACAATTTGTCATAAATCCTTCAAAGAATTTATAATTTCCCATAAACACACATGCACGCACAAAAGACCACCATAATTTCTTGCGATCCTACTAAGTAATTACATTTGCCAACAGACAGCGAACTGTGCCAATTTTGAATGATCTTACTCACTAAAACCTCGTTAACAGGAATTCCTAAGGAACCGCAAAATCAAGAGTTCATTAGCAAAAGATCTGTAAAGTAAAGTAAAGTAAAGTAAAGTAAAGATCCCTTTTCATGCCTTTCGGCGCATCGTGCATATGGGCAGAGCGTCCCATATTTTTACAGACCATCAGCACTCTGTGGGTAATGTGGTCAGCATTACGCCGGCTGTCTTTACTTTCCCAGGACAGCCCATCCTGGTACCCATTTTAGGCTGGGTCGACCTGCGACGTCCCATACCATGATAAAAATCCACGCAGCCTGCAGTGGGTTTTGATCGCGGTATGCTGGCTCACGAGTCGGACTCGCAACGCCTTAGCCACAGACCCCGCAAAAGATCTGTACTAAGAACTAATAGATGTGTTATCAATGCAGTGCTGGGACCAAAATCTTGTTTGCGTTAAAGTTGAAGGTGAAAGTCGAGAGCATCGACTACACTGCACGGGGTTTAATCCCCTAGGGCTCAGTCTCTCACAGCAGAACGACTAGCTGCCTATCGAGACCGCTGCACTGAGCACAAACTCCGTAGCTCCAGCAACGATCCCCGTAAAAAATGCACTCATGAGCTGAAGGACGCAGCAGAGAAATGAACCCATGACCTTCAGAGCATGAGGCAAATGACTTGACCACTTCGCCATGGAGACTTCCTGACTTGTTTGCGTTAAATGTGTGTTTGTCTTAAGCGAGCTCATGTTAACGAGGTTTCACTGTAATAGTATGCAACTGACCACACATAAATAAACTGTGGGAGCCGCTATAGCACATTCGATAGAAGGCTCGCTTTCAAATCCAGCTGCGACTCGCTGCAGCCACGGTCGGTGTTCGAAACCGGGCGGTTCCCGGGGTTCACCCAGCCTCTAGGAAATGGGTCCCAGAGCGACACTCTGGGGTAAATGGAGGAACGTCGCTGTAGCTACGGAGTTACTTACGTGCGGACAGCGACACAGGTGGACAGTTTCTTATCAGCTGTCCGTACTGGTGGCAGAGCACTTATGGTTATAACCGTGTGCAATGCCGCTGGTTCACATCTCCCGGTTTTACTTTACTTTAAATAAACTGTATTACAAATGTTGGTGATTCTTTTCAAGATCACAGTATACTGGTGGTAGTTTTTTTTTTAAGTATCCAGAAGCCATGAGCTGTTAACACTTAGGCTGGGTACTATGTATATCGCAACCCTTCGGCCTTGATTCCATGATAGATGCCGTAAATCTTGAAGAAATTTGGCTTTTCTGCCTACCCCCGGGTCGTGAACCCGGACCACAAGGAGTTCGTCACCCGGTGGCCGCAAAGTCAGGTTTAGCCAACTACGCTAGCCAGCCGGGCTAGTGGTAGATAAGTGGTACTATAAGACCATGTGCTTCCCACAGAGGAAATAAAAATGCCCAAGAAATATCAGCAGTGCCATCATGTCATGCCAGTCCTGGAGGGTCAACTAATGCTGTTGGAAGACGGATCATGTCACAGTGTGATATACCTCTCGAGACCGCTCAGCTCCCCTAAGTGACTTGACTGTTGGGGGTAGCTTGTCCACTATACCACCACCCCCCCCCCCCTCACCTTTCCCAAGATGGGGCCCCAGAACTCACACAAGCATGTAACAATAAAAAGGTGTTTACCCTTCCAAGGAAGAATATTTTTGATTTTAGATGAAAGTAATGGAAGAATTATTAAAGCACAATACTGCATGCACGTTGAGTTAACAAAACAAAAAAAAAACACCGCAGTCACTGTCAGCAACAGTGCGTTCATTAAAAAGGAAAAAAAAAAAAAGAAGCTAAAGAGCATTGCCAAATATCAGCTATAGTGCAAGGTCAAAGGTCACTTTTTATGTAGAAAATCACAGATGTCAGGTTAAAAAAAAAAAAAAAACTATAGTTTTACTCCACTCTGCCTCTCAATTTCTCTCTCTTTCTCTCTCTCTGGGCTTTGGGTTCGGAGTCTGCTGACAATCATCTTTTCTTCTTTCCACAACCGACCTTAGAAGGGCAGCTGGCACATTGTTTTGTGGTTTACAGCTAGACTGGGATATCTGCACCTTAACCGTTTGAGTCCTACTAGTGGGTTAAGCAACAGAGGCCCAAGAGGTAGACAAAAAAGACGTAAAGTTGGTGCATCTTGCATTCATTGGACTTCTAGGTGGGAACCTCTGAACGTATGATCCATTCCTTGGGACTGAAAGAGTTAAGGTCTAACACATCCGATTTCAACAAATACTTAGTTAGTTTACCCTTTATGACATGCTTGTTAACTCTTTGAGTCCCAGGGGGTTTAGCATCACAGGCCCAGGGGGTAGTCATGAAGTAATAAAATCGGTGCATCATGCGTTTGTTGGGCTTCTAGGTAGAAACCTATAAACGAATGATGCGTTCCTTGGGACTCAAAGAGTTAAGGGGTAGTTGGCCTATTCATTTTCCTTACCAAAATGGGGCCCCAGAAACCACACGGGGACGCCGAGAATGAAAAGCTTATTAGCTGCTATTGAAATATTACTACTAACCTAAGCTATTGTCAGTCAGTGTTTACGCGCTGCGCAAATCCTGACCTTCCCATGTTGAATCCAGGCCCCATTGATTGGGGGGGGGGGGGGGGGGGGCCCTCATGTCCCCCCCCCTCCCCCCCCCCCCATCAAAATCAAGAATGTCGTAACAAGAAACTAATTAGGAGTTTTCTCTCAAAGTTGGAGAGCATCTGCCGGGGAGTTGAGGAACTAACAGTCTCCACACAAATAAACCAGATCCGTAAAATGGATGTGCATACAACAGTCAGGTTCTGGAACAAGACCAAAGTCCAGAAGTGGATGAACAACCAGAACTTTCCACCAAAATTCATAGCTGGTGAACATTAAGAAGAAAAATCTTATACGACATGTGTTTCTACATCTTCTTCATTGCGTTCACCTGCTGTAACTTCGGAAGGAAGTTCCAGTTGTTTGTCCACATCTTGACTTTAGTCTTGTTCCAGAATCTACTGCGTGCACATCTGTTTTACATATCTGACTTATATGTATGCAGACTGTTGATTCCTTGCCTCTCAGGCAGATGCACTCAGACTTCAAGTCCTATTAGTCAGCTCTTACGACATGCTGTTTGTGGAGACAGCGGTTCTAGTCTTGTTTTCCCCATAATGGGTCTCCAGAACCCACACGGGGAAATGTGTCTATATAATCTGTATGTGGATGTACACAACTAGCAAATTTAAAACAATATGTTTGATGTACACAATCTGTGTGTGGTTGTCCGCAGTCTGTGTGTAGTTGTTCATGATATCTGTGTGGTTGTACACAACTACAAGCAGCCTTATACTCCACAGGCTGTACACAATCTATGTTTTTGTACACAATATGTATGTGGTTGTAAATAATCTGTACGTGGTTGCATACAACCCACACAACCCTATACAACATACGTTTCAAAACAATGCGTATGTGGTTGCAACATCACAAGTATTTTCTTCCCTTACCCAAAACTTTACGTATGTACCTACATGTATAACATAAATATACATACTCTATGAGACAGAATAGCACACACTGTAGTTTTCCTCATTCTTAGTTGTTGGTGTTTCAGGCAGCATGGAACAGTGAATTTTGTTTCAGGCATCAGTTTTTTAAGTGCTTCTGGAACAGACACTTTGTGGCGAGGACCTGCACCTTTTTCCCCCATAGGGAAAAAAATCCTTGCTGATACTCAAACACATGCAGTGTCAAACCTACTGCTTGGGAGATGTTACTGTGCCAGGTTGTGGCATGGCCTGTTGAGGAGCATGAGGTATGTGTAGGGGAGATTGCTGCAGATTCTGGCCCAGATTTGAAGTTCCGTGCTGTCGCTGGTGTAGCGTTGGCTGCTGAGGATGATGATGATGATGGCCTGGCATCATGGCCCCGCTGTTGGAGTCTAAGCTCTCATTAGAGTGACCTGAGAAGTAGCGATCTGGAAGGAGATGATGATGATGCAATAAACTATTAAGATATAGAGAAAGGTGTCTTGCAGACTGGAAACAGAGTCATATTATCTAGCTTTCTTCGTCTTCTCTGTTCACTGACTTAAACTCCAGCAGAAAGTTCTGGCTGCTCACCCATTTGGATCTTGGCTTTGTGCCAGGGGCTGAGTTTTGCATGTACACCCATTTTACTGGCTTGTGTGCAGTTGGTTCCTTGTCAATTGGGCTAATGCATTCTGACTTCAAAGGAAGCCCCCAATTAGTGGGGTAAGCGCCCCCTCTCCCCCCCCCCCCCAACTTAATTTTTTTTGTTCTATTACACTGTCCATTTGATCCACGAAAGCCGTCACCATAGCCGGTTTATCACAGGATAGCTCACCACCTAGAGGTGCTGAAGCAGCCAATCTATCAGCATAATTATTCCACACATTTGAATATCCGGGACAGAAAACCTATGACATTATCTTAAAGAAATAAACATGCAATCAAATTTACAGCAATGACCCTGTGAAAAAGGCATTCCCATAGTAATAATTCTGTAATCACATGACTACAGGATCACTTGCGTTATTTATTACCATAGAATCAGACATCTTTACAACCTTGGAATCAGATTTCATAATTACGACCAGGTGTTCAGATAAATTAATTATGACCATGGGATCATATAAATTAATTAAAACCATGTGATCAGATATTTTAATTATCACCACTGGAAAAGATATCTTATTATCACGATGTGATCAAATATTTTATTATATTTTATAATGTTGTTATAACCCTGGATCAGATCTGAGATGAGATATCTTAACTATCATCATGTGATCAGATATCATTATTATTAATTAATACAACCATAGGATCAGATATATTAATGATTATTAATTATTACAACCACAGGATCAGATTTCCTAATTATGACCACAGGATCAGATGTCTTAATTATAACCACAGGATCAGATGTCTTAATTATGACCAGAGGATCAGATGTCTTAATTATGACCACAGGATCAGATGTCTTAATTATGACTACAGGATCAGATGTCTTAATTACAACCACATGATCAGATGTCTTAATTATGACCACAGGATCAGATATCTTAATTATGACCACAGGATCAGATATTTAAATTATGAAAACAGGATCAGATATTTAAATTGTGACCACAGGATCAGATATCTTAATTATGACCACAGGATCAGATATCTTAATTAAGATATGTTAACTAGGGACAATATGATCATATCACAGTGGCTAGTTGCTTGCGTGCCAGTCCGAACGTCTTGGGTTTAAACCCACACCGAGTCTAATTTCAGCATGCAGATGATCCCATCACTCCTCAAGTGCAGTCTAGTTTAGAACAATACAGCTCTAGCACCAACATCATGTGCCACAGTGTGACAAGTTTCATTTAGTTTTTGTGTGGTTGGTTAGATATCTTAATCATTTCTTGTATGAATTGAAAGAAAAAAAACTTTTTTTAGGCACAAGGAGATATAATCCATTTCATTCTCCAATGTATTTGTTGTACACTGATTTTTGCCTTCTAAATTTACAAGCAAATGTCTTGTACATATGGCTGCTAAGTCTGTGGTCGCAGGCATTAGAGGGTGGAACTGGTGGTGCCTAGTTTTCAGTTTCAGCTGTAACACCTTTCTGGTCTCTCTGGACCTTTCGGCCCAGCACCTCCGATTTCAGCATGCTTATCTGTTAGGATGAGCTTCCTTAGTTGGATTGATGTGGAACAGGGATCAAAGGTCCCTTCTCCATGCCTCCAGGTGTATTGGGCATACAGGGCGAGACCTATATTTTATAGACCAACCAGCACCTAGTGGGTGATGTGGTCGGCATCGTGCCAGCCATCTTTACTTACCAGGACTCCATCTGCGTCCCACTCGAGGCTGGGTCAAGCTGGAAGCCAAGGGAAATAGGAATAAAGAAAAGATTTTAATGCCAATCTGGCAGAAGACCAATTTGCCTTAATTTACGACCACAGCTGGTTACCTTCACCTAGAACTGCTTCATCTGTGTTGACGGTCGGCATGATATTGGCCAGCATAGAGTACTCCATATTCTCATCAACAGAGATAAAGTTCGAGGCCCAGCGGGGCACTGGAGTGGAGCGTGGGGTGGTCCTGGGTGTTGCCACGGGTGAGGTGATCAGGCTGAGCGTTGTGGGGCTGATCACCCCACTCACTGCATTCACTGGACTCATGCTCGGGTAAGTGAACACCTGTAACATGCGGAAAAGAAAAAAAAGTAAATTGTACTTTCTTCATGGGATGTCGTACGTCAACCCAAACATTTACTGTCTTTGTGGGTTTACCAGGCAATTGATTGGTTAACAGTCTGCCACTATTAACCCTTTTGGTCCAAGGAGGTTTAGCATTAGAGGTCTAAGGGGTAGTACAGAAAAACGTAAAATCAGCACATCTTGCTTATATTGGGTTTCTAGGTTCGAACCTATGAACGTATATGCGTTCCTTGGGATTGAAAGGGTTATGAATACAGCATAATTTATTGCCAGACACATCATGCTGCATCTCGTCAGGTGCACTATTACAGATACATCAACACATAATAAAGCTCAAAAAAAATTATCAAAATTATTGCAAAGTTGACTCCGTTGTCAAAATCAACACAAAGTTGTTTGATAACAAATGGAATGCAGCTGACTCTGAATAAAAGTATGTCAGGATCGTCAAACTGCACTGACAACCCTTAAACCCCCAAAAAGTTCAAATGAAAGGTAATGGTGAACAGGAGGGAAGATACTGCCTGGGTGTCCCAAGCGAGCTTCATTTCCTCTTTTACGGCTTGAGTGTCAAGGGAGCCATAAGGTTCTGCTTCTGGTCTTTCTGGCTGCCTAGAGCTTGGTCACATTGTATTGTTGTGTAGAGTTTCTCTGATGCCATCTTTCCATCTTGTTCTTGCTTCAGTGGTCCACATCATCATCATGAAGCAGGTCCTTTGCAGAACGTCGCTCTCATCCCGGTCTGCCTGAAAGAAACTCGGTCTCTCGCCAGCTCTCCCGCCTCATGTACTTTAATATTCTAGGAGTCACTTATAGCTTGTGCCCATCTTCATGTTGGTCGGCCCCTGCCTCTCCTCCCTGGTACCATGCCTTCTGCTATTATTTTTTGTCAAATCCACCATGGCGCCCGATGTGACCAAAATATTTCAGCTTCCGAGAAAAGATGCTGTTTATTAGCCAATCTTCCTCGATGTTCAGATCTTTTAAAATGTCGGTATTTCTTCTCTTCTTTGGGGGCAATGTCCTGGGAGGGAAAGGTGTTGGCATGCTCTTGATGTCATCAGCCACCTAGTGCCACAATTTCATTGACAAAAATAGCGATCTATAAGTAAAAGGCCAATGTGGCAAGTGTGTGAAAAAAGCCCTTTACTAAACAATCATGGTGTTAGTCACTAGTCGAGATTTCGAGTCACTAGTCGAGATTTCGAGTCACTAGTCGAGATTTCGAGTCACTAGTCGAGATTTCGATTTCGCTGCAGACAGGTCGCCCCATAACTGCTGTGTTCCTGTGCCAGTGATAATGACACAAAATGTCCGCCACGGTCCCTTAAAAAAAAAAAAAAAAAAAAAAAAACTAGGTATAAATATGTCGGTCTCATTCCAGTGAGAGTTGCAGAGCCTTATCGTAGGGAAAAGAAGAACAGACTCGCTGGCTCCCTAACAAAAGCATGTTGTAAAAGTCAACTAATTGGGAGCTTCCTTCGAAGTTGCAGAGCATCTGCCGGAGCGGCAAGGAACAACCAACTGCTCATAAACAAAATAGTAAAACGGATGTACACGCAAAACTTAGTCTCAGGAACAAAGCCAAAGTCTAAATGGATGAACCATAATTGGGTTCTTTATTAAGATCCTACCCCAGATGACGTCACAGGACAGTCTAACATATTAGAGGGTGGTAATACTGGGTTTCCCGGCTTTTTGATGCTTTTAACGACCCCAAAACATCTAGAACCGGCCCTTACCCAACCCACCTACGTCCCACGAGAGAGTGCAGCCTAGGTTCCATGACTGCATGCAGCCTATCTAACAGCACAAGAAATATTAGACTGTCCCGTGACCTGTGGATTTCCCCCTGTTTGGGGTAGCATATTAATCAAGCACCCCATAACTTTCTGCCGGGGCTTACACCTGGTGCACAAAGAAGAAGATGTCAGTCACAGAAAAATTTTGAAGCTTGCACCCAAAGTAAAAAGCAATGACATAAGGCATGGACTATAAAAAGAATAATGACACTATTCATTGTATTTTCCAGGCCTCAGTATTACACACAGTTAACATGTTAGGATACAGCATAACTGTTCTCTACTTCTTGTGTGCTTTGGTAAATAAATGGGCAACATGTTTTGTTAACAGGGTTACAATTCTCTGCATCTTTTGTGTGTTCTGGTAAATGAATAGGCAGCACGTTTTGTTAACATGGTTACAATTCTCTGCTTCTCTTGTGTGTTCTGGTAAATGAATAGGCAGCACGTTTTGTTAACAGGGTTACTATTCTCTGCATCTCTCGTGTGTTCTGATAAATGAATACGCAACATGTTTTGTTAACAGTGTTACAATGCTCTGCTTCTCTTGTGTGTTCTGATAAATGAATAGGCAACATGTTTTGTTAACAGGGTTTCTATTCTCTGCATCTCTCGTGTGTTCTGATAAATGAATAGGCAACATGTTTTGTTAACAGGGTTACTATTATCTGCTTCCATAATGGGCTTCGATAACAAACAGGGTAATTTCCATCACAGTGATATGTTTTTCAACTAAACTGCCCACTCTGAAAGTCAGCGAGTGCAGACAGAAGCATGCAAAGCTCACCTGTGAATGGATGTGTGTGAAGGCATGCTCAGGTGAAGATAGCAAATTACATGGACTAGACATGAAGGACTGACTCACTGGAGGTGTGGTTGGGGAGCCGGACATGCTCCCCTGGGAGGCTGCATGATGGACGCTGTTGTTTCCTGAAAATCAAATAAATGAAATGAATCAATCAATCAAGAAGTGGCATAACTGCACTCAGGACATTCCCACAAGTGCTCTATCCCCTTCCTCAGCAGCCAACAAAGAGTCCCCATACTGATGGTGCAAGCTGTAACCTGATTAAAAGTTCACCTGTCAATCCCTCCCCCCTCTTTTGCAAATATATATTTTCCCTGTAGGCAGAAAATCATCCAGACTCTTTGAGCATTCTCAGCTAAATCATTCTCTCCAGATATAGATGCTCTTGTCTGTCCTGCTGCACTGTTCACTTGATCCCATAGAGCTTTCCTGCTTTATCACAAAGTAGCTCACCGTCCAGAGGGGTGGCAGCAGATAAACAGTCTACTCATTACCCCACAGTGTTGTTTCGTGTGTATTTGTATGTTCAAATTTTTGATAATGTGTGTGTGTGTGCGTCTGCATGTGTCTGTCTGTGCGAGTATTTGTGCGTCTGTGGGTGTGTTAGTATGTGTTTGTGTCCGTCTCTGTGTGTCAGTGTGTGTGTGTGCCATTATGTGTCTGTAGGTGTGTATGGCTGCATGTGTATATGTGTCTGTCTGTGGCTGTGCGTGGCTTTGTGTGTATCTGTGTGAGTCTCTATTGGTGTGTCTATTATATTATGTCTGCGTGTCTCTGCTTGTGTCGGGTTATGCCTCTGTGTGCGTATGTCTGACTGTGCGTGTCTGTGTGTGTATATCTTTGTATGTGTGGGTGTTGCGTATGTCAATGTGTGTGTCTGTTTCCCTGCCTGCGTGTGTGTATGTGTCCCCGTATGTGTGCCCGTGACTGCATGTGTGTGTGTCTGAATGTGTCTGGATTGTATGCGTGTGTGTTTTAGAGCGTGTGTATGAATGTATGTATGTATGTATGTATGTATGTATGTATGTATGCATGTATGTATGTATGTATGTATGTATGCATGCATGTTTGTATGTATGTATGTGTGTGTGTGTGTGTGTGTATGTATGTGTGTGTATGTATGTATGTATGTATGTGTGTGTGTGTATGTATGTATGTATGTATGTATGTATTATGTGAGTTTGTATGCATGCATGTATGTATGTATGTATGTATGTATGTATGTATGTATGTATGTATGTATGTGTGTGTGTGTGTGTGTGTGTGTGTGTGTGTGTATGTATGTATGTATGTATGTATGTATGTATGTATGTATGTGTGTGTGCATGTTCGTATGTATGTGGATTTATGTGTGTACTTAGTGCCTATATGTTTGTGTGTAAGTGAGTCATTGGGCTTGTGTGTGTATGTGGGTGTGTGTGTTCGCGCGTGAGCGTGCGTACATATTTTACCAGCCATGTTTTTGTTTTTGACTTCGTATATATAATGAATATAACATGCTTAATTGATGAAATACAACTGCTGTGTGAAAGATGGAAGTTTGGAAGGGCCGAATGTAAGACAGGCCTGCGTGCCTAATTTGTAACCCTTTGAAAATAAAGTTCGTTCGTTCGTTCGTACAGATCTGATTGTCCTGGGTAACAACTCCATGACATGTTTCTAATCTGAGTCTCTCATCAAACACTTCATCCCACTGTGAGCACGAAACAAAACATTAAAAGTAAAGCAGACAGACAAAGACAGACAAACATACACAGAGAGACACGAGCACCCATGCACACACATGCCCAGGCTCACCTGCAGATGTTACTGACACGTGACCACTCAACACAGTATGACAATCGGATATTTGCAGGAGAGGTACTGGCCGGGCAAGGCTGGAGGGAGGTGGTGGTGGTGGCGGAGGTAGCATTCCTGGAGAGAAAAAGTGGGGCAGGCGGTTCGGGCTTCGAACTGGCGGGGAATTCTGACCTGACTGGGAACACACAAAAATGAAATTATGATTATTCTTGGGATACGGCAATGTAAACTGAGACACACACACACAAAACTATGCTGAGATCTTGTGGATCACACACTACGAGGTGAAAGTTCTCTTCCTCATAAAAATTTGGCTCTATAGATCTTTATCACCGGTAACTGATACATCTGAAGTTATTTCTGATCAGATTATAAGGCAAGATGAAAGTTTATTTCTTCATGTACATTTCATCCCCATAAGCATTCACCACTGCTGCTTTACTTTTAAAAACAGAAAATATACAGTAACCGGTTGTTATCAAGCTATGACAATTCTATACACATGATAAGTGATTAGAAATTAATCAGGATAATCATCACAGCACTCCAGACAGATCCATGGGTGCTCTGATCTCCTCCTCAGTAGCTCCACAAAACAACTGAACAAGTCCGTGTTGTGTTGAACCTCTTGTACCTGGAGTGAAATGTTCATATCTGCCTAGTCCAGCATGCACCACAATGTCCACCAACCTAAAAGAATGTTGAATTAAGAATCGACATCACAGCATTCGGGACACCCCCATTAGTGCACACCAACCTAAAAAAAATTTTGAATTAAGAATCGACATCACAGCACTCGGGACATCCCCACAAGTGTACACCAACCTAAATTAATATTGAATTGAGAATCGACATCACAGCACTCGGGACATCCCCACAAGTGTACACCAACCTGACCACGGACAGTGAGTCCTGCTTGTTGTCATGATCTTCTCTGTAATATGCAGCTCGCACGACATTAAGTGTACTAGCTATTATGCAATCAGTGTGTGACCTGGTAGTAAAGCTTGGTGAAGCACGCCTAGTATCTTTGAGGCCCGTGTAGGAGATACTATAACAGCTTCTCATAGGAACAATCAACAGAGGTGCCACAGAGAAGCAACTTACATGGTTTTGAGAATTCTGAGCTTCCTGGCACACGAGCGTGACAAAGTCATTCAGGGTGTCATTTTGTTGATTTTCGTACTTGATCACCTGCTGGCCTGACATAACCATGTGACCAAGCCCTGGACAAAGGAAGCAATTCATTGTGAAACAGATTCAAAACTCTTTTCAAGCAGAGCATTTTTCACAACAAAAGTCAATTTTTCAAACAATAGAAGTTTTAATGTAAGGTGCATGTGCAGTATGGAAAGTAAAGGAACAGACATTTAATGTTGCAGACCATTAGGATTTAACTAATGATATAGTCTTCTTCTTCTTAGTGTTCACCAGCTTCAAACTCTGTTGGAAAGTTCTGGTTGTTCGTCCACTTCTGGACTTTGATCTGGTTCCAGAATTTAAGTTTTGCGTGCACGTTGTTTGATATATTTGGCTTATTTGTCTGCAGACTGTTGGTTCCCTGCCTCTCTGGTAGGTATACTGTGACTCTGATGTAAACACCCCTAGTTAGTCGCATTTTATGACATGCTTCTTATGGGGTCAGTGAGTCTATTCGGTTGGGGTCAAGGAACCAACAGTCTGCATACAAATAAGTCAAATCTGTAAAACGGATGTAAACGCAACACTTAGGTTCTGGAACAAGTCTAAAGTCCAGAGGTGGATGAACAACCAGAAATTTCTGCCAGAGCTGAACACAAACAAGAAGAAGAAGAAGAAATTTGGTATATGCCATTATAGACTTATGTGCACTGGACGAATGATGTAATCAACACTGCACCAACCATCTTTACTTCCAGGGACATTACCTGGTACCCATTTTAAGCTGGGCTGGCTGAGAAGCTAAGATCAGTTTCGAAAACAATCCATCTCAATGTGGAATTGAACCCTGAATCTTTAAACCTGCTGGCGAGTGACCAACAGCTATGCTACTGCGGCTCTCAAAACAGAGTAACCAAGCATTTAAAACATTTGCGATTCTCTTCGTATATTACTATGTTATATTATCCAAATCACCACAACTAAATTTTGGGCATTCTTATGCATTCTCAGTCCTCAGATCTCATGGGTATACAGTGCTATGCCTGTATATAGAGTAAAAATGAAAACTTATGGCAAAAGGACGGGTGTCGTTTCAAAGTGTTGGGTGCCAGCCGCTCAGTGAAAGTGTTTTAAGCTGTAGTAAAAATGAAAACTTATGGCAAAAGGTTGAGTGTTGTGTCATAGTGTTCCAAGGTATCTCTACTGATTGTTCCCATGAGGAGCTGGTTATAATGACTTCTATCTCGGCTTTGAAGGTAGCCGAGGTGTTGCAATTATGTTAGTGTCAGTAATTTGTCATTATCCACTAGCCTTGCCTGTAAAACACTGATGACGATCATCACATACACAAGCATTTTTCACTTTTCATAACATATTTCTGTTGGCATTTTTCCCCGCATTTCCAGACGACAGTGTTATACTGTGCTATGACGAGGCATAGGGCACAGCCCATGGCGATGGCGAGTGTGACTAGCAAGACACGACTGCGTTAAGAAACATCTTCCACAATTATAGCATGGGATTTCAGGACCATTGTTACCATCATTTTTGTTTAGTGTGTTTCTTCTCAGACATTCAGCTCTCATCCTTTCTGCAATCATTTCTTCTTTCATTCTCATTCCCTCCCTGACATATATTTATGACATAATTCACATAAACAATAAAAGAATGTGATGTGCATTCATGAAATAAATGTGAAATTTTTTTTTCTTTATAAACTCTGACCACTTCGGGGTAAAACGGTCAAGCTATGTGCCTAATTTTGTGCAGGTAGGGTGGTAATTTTTTGGACTTTGATTCAGTTCACAAGGAGAGTAATTTAAGTTAAAAGTGACTCCAAATTTCTAAATCAACCTGATATCATCAACCATCAATCAACAGGTCTTGTACAGAACGTCACTCTCGTCACAGCACACCTGAAAGTCTCCCTTTCTCTAGGCAATTCTGCAGCTCTATGTGATTTCACAGCTGATGTATCTTCAATATCTTGTGTCCACCTTTATGGAGGTCGGCCCCTGCCTCCTCTTCCAGAAACTCCATCCCCATTCTTTACAGGTCACCACAAAACTTAACAGGGCCAAAATACCTCAGCTTTCAAGATAGGATGCTGTTTATGAGCCAATTCCCCTTGATGTCCAGATCATCTAGGATGTCGGTGTCACAAGAAATGATCCCACTTCACATAAGAGTGTATTGTACACCCACTAGGAACACAAGTTATTGGAGTGACTGCAGGCAATCAAACCATAACATTTCTCTTGGGGAAAATCATCTAACTCAAGTTTTAGTATTTTGTAGCCTAGCAGGAATCAAAGTTTAGCTCGTCTGCATCTAAACATAATTTTTTATTCCTATTTTTTCATTCTGATGCTGCTACTACTACTTCTACTGCTGCTGCTACTAGTTCTACGATGTTTATTATTATTAGTATTGTTATTTTTGTTCCTTTATTTATGTTTCATTACATCTCCACCTGTTTCTATTTTTTTGTATTCTGTCAGAGTTATTCACATTACTTTCTAGTGTGAGGAAATGGTGTCCAGGACTGTTCTTTAGGTTGCAGCACCTACTGATCTTCAGTTGAAATGTTTCATTGTTTCTGTGTGTGAGTTTTCATTCTACCTTTGTTGAATTTTCTAGCCACACTGAGTTAGTGATTTCAGAATCAACATCATAGCACAGGGGCACACCCAAAGATGCTCCGTCTCCCACAAACAAATGTCTTAAGACTGACTATTCCTGTAGCAGACAGATTACATACACATTCACTTCCTCTCATAGATCCCTCCTTGCCGGATCCGCATCTAGCCGTAGCATATGTTCATTGAATTTATTACAAGACAGTACCATACCTGGTGTGTGAGTGCAAGATATCATACCTGGTGTGTGAGTACAAGATATCATACCTGGTGTGTGAGTACAAGATATCATACCTGGTGTGTGAGTACAAGATATCATACCTGGTGTGTGAGTACAAGATATCATACCTGGTGCGTGAGTACAAGATGTCATACCTGGTGTGTGAGTACAAGATATCATACCTGGTGTGTGAGTACAAGATATCATACCTGGTGTGCAAGCAGAGGATATCATACCTGGTGTGTGAGTACAAGATATCATACCTGGTGTGTGAGTACAAGATATCATACCTGGTGTGTGAGTACAAGATATCATACCTGGTGCGTGAGTACAAGATATCATACCTGGTGTGTGAGTACAAGATATCATACCTGGTGTGTGAGTACAAGATATCATACCTGGTGTGCAAGCAGAGGATATCATACCTGGTGCGTGAGTACAAGATATCATACCTGGTGTGTGAGTACTCATGGGTCTGGGTGGTGTTGGAACTAAGGACCTGGAGTGCTGGCCACCCATGGCACTGGAAGGAGACAAGGGAGCATAGCCAGGCTCTTGTTTGGGGATGATTGGTATCATCATGTGGGGTGAGTGCATAGTTTGACACTGGCTGCCTCCTGATTGGAAGAGAACAAACAAATTTAAATCTATACCAAGGGCAGAAAATACAGTTGAACGTTATTCTTGTGTAACTGTAAAGAGAAGGCCAATAACAAAGATGATGTTATTATGTTATGTTATCACAACTGATGTCACTGTACATTGGGCATTCCCATGTGTGCTCAGTCCTCTGATGCAGCAGCCACTCCAAGGTTCTTCTACTGTCAGTTTCCATGAGGAGCTGGCTATAATGTCTTCTATCTCGGCTTCATGTGAAAATTTTAAAACTAACAGAAATTACAATAATCATACTGTTGCCTTGTCAATGCCTATACTGCTGTTAAGGATGTCAAGAGTTTAAAGCAAGTAAAATCATTGTGTAAACGGACACAGCAATGACATAATGAGTTAAAAGATGGCCACCCCACTTTTGACATAAGCCAAAGGGGAGTAATGTTTTTTTTTCAAGGGGAGCTGAGACCGTTGGTTGAATCCCCAGGTTCACCAGGTCTCGAAGCATACCGTCCGCCTCGAGTGCTGGAGGTCCTGGGTCCAGGCCCCAGTAAAGGCTGGGATCTTTTTGTGTAGAGTTTCAGTAATTTTCCTTGGTCTCTGGGTAGTATAATTGGACGTCCGTGTGTACTGCTGCACAAGTTTAAAAAAAACTTGGCAGCTGGAAATCGAAAAGAGTAGACTATTGGCACTGCTTGGGCAAAATTTGGAGTTAAAAATCTACCCAAATTATTTTAGGATCCTCGCCTGTGCTACGGAGTTTGTGCACTGGTTTTTTTTTTCTTTTCCCAGATTGAGGCCTGAATTAGAAGAAGAACGGAGCACTGATGGGTTACCGCTCTTGTGCCCTGATGTTGATACGTTATTAAAGTAAAGTAAAGTAAAGTCACCAGGAAATATCTTGGGCAGTACAGGCGGCCGGCATAATGCTGACCGCAAAACCTATGGGGTGATGACTGACCCTCCTACATCTACTGTCAGATTCAGACAGGCAGTGACCTAGATAAGAACATCTACTGTCTTATTCAGACTGGCAGTGACCTAGATAAGAACATCTACTGTATGATTCAGACAGGCAGTGACCTAGATAAGAACATCTACTGTCTGATTCAGACAGGCAGTGACCTAGATAAGAACATTACTGTCTGATTCAGACCAGCAGTGACCTAGGTAAGAACATCTACTGTCTTATTCAGACTGGCAGTGACCTAGATAAGAACATCTACTGTCTGATTCAGACCAGCAGTGACCTAGGTAAGAACATCTACTGTCTTATTCAGACTGGTAGTGACCTAGATAAGAACATCTACTGTCTTATTCATACCTGCAGTGACCTAGATAAGAACATCTACATTCTTATTCAGACAGGCAGTGACCTAGATAAGAACATCTACTGTCTTATTCAGACAGGCAGTGACCTAGATAAAAACATCTACTGTCTGATTCAGACAGGCAGTGACCTAGATAAGAACATCTACTGTCTGATTCAGACTGGCAGTGACCTAGATAAGAACATCTACTGTCTTATTCAGACTGGCAGTGACCTAGATAAGAACATCTACTGTCTGATTCAGATCAGCAGTGACCTAGATAAGAACATCTACTGTCTTATTCAGACAGGCAGTAACCTAGATAAGAACATCTACTGTCTGATTCAGACCAGCAGTGACCTAGATAAGAACATCTACTGTCTTATTCAGACAGGCAGTGACCTAGATAAGAACATCTACTGTCTTATTCATACCTGCAGTGACCTAGATAAGCCAAAGGGAGTAATGTTTTTTTTTCAAGGGGAGCTGAGACCGTTGGTTGAATCCCCAGGTTCACCAGGTCTCGAAGCATACCGTCCGCCTCGAGTGCTGGAGGTCCTTGGTTCAGGCCCCAGTAAAGGCTGGGATCTTTTTGTGTAGAGTTTCAGTAATTTTCCTTGGTCTCTGGGTAGTATAATTGGACGTCCGTGTGTACTGCTGCGCAAGTTTAAAAAAAACTTGGCAGCTGGAAATCGAAAAGAGTAGACTATTGGCACTGCTTGGGCAAAATTTGGAGTTAAAAATCTACCCAAATTATTTTAGGATCCTCGCCTGTGCTACGGAGTTTGTGCACTGGTTTTTTTTTTTCTTTTCCCAGATTGAGGCCTGAATTAGAAGAAGAACGGAGCACTGATGGGTTACCGCTCTTGTGCCCTGATGTTGATACGTTATTAAAGTAAAGTAAAGTCACCAGGAAATATCTTGGGCAGTACAGGCGGCCGGCATAATGCTGACCGCAAAACCTATGGGGTGATGACTGACCCTCCTACATCTACTGTCAGATTCAGACAGGCAGTGACCTAGATAAGAACATCTACTGTCTTATTCAGACTGGCAGTGACCTAGATAAGAACATCTACTGTATGATTCAGACAGGCAGTGACCTAGATAAGAACATCTACTGTCTGATTCAGACAGGCAGTGACCTAGATAAGAACATTACTGTCTGATTCAGACCAGCAGTGACCTAGGTAAGAACATCTACTGTCTTATTCAGACTGGCAGTGACCTAGATAAGAACATCTACTGTCTGATTCAGACCAGCAGTGACCTAGATAAGAACATCTACTGTCTTATTCATACCTGCAGTGACCTAGATAAGAACATCTACATTCTTATTCAGACAGGCAGTGACCTAGATAAGAACATCTACTGTCTTATTCAGACAGGCAGTGACCTAGATAAAAACATCTACTGTCTGATTCAGACAGGCAGTGACCTAGATAAGAACATCTACTGTCTGATTCAGACTGGCAGTGACCTAGATAAGAACATCTACTGTCTTATTCAGACTGGCAGTGACCTAGATAAGAACATCTACTGTCTGATTCAGACCAGCAGTGACCTAGATAAGAACATCTACTGTCTCATTCAGACAGGCAGTGACCTAGATAAGAACATCTACTGTCTGATTCAGACCAGCAGTGACCTAGATAAGAACATCTACTGTCTTATTCAGACAGGCAGTGACCTAGATAAGAACATCTACTGTCTTATTCATACCTGCAGTGACCTAGATAAGAACATCCACTGTCTTATTCAGACAGGCAGTGACCTAGATAAGAACATCTACTGTCTTATTCAGACAGGCAGTGACCTAGATAAAAACATCTACTGTCTGATTCAGACAGGCAGTGACCTAGATAAGAACATCTACTGTCTTATTCGGACCGGCAGTGACCTAGATAAGAACATCTACTTTCTTATTCAGACCGGCAGTGACCTAGATAAGAACATCTACTGTCTTATTCATACCTGCAGTGACCTAGATAAGAACATTACTGTCTGATTCAGACCAGCAGTGACCTAGATAAGAACATCTACTGTCTGATTCAGACCAGCAGTGACCTAGATAAGAACATCTACTGTCTTATTCATACCTGCAGTGACCTAGATAAGAACATCTACTGTCTTATTCAGACCGGCAGTGACCCAGATAAGAACATCTACTTTCTTATTCAGACCGGCAGTGACCTAGATAAGAACATCTACTGTCTGATTCAGACAGGCAGTGACCTAGATAAGAACATCTACTGTCTTATTCATACCTGTAGTGACCCAGATAAGAACATCTACTTTCTTATTCAGACCGGCAGTGACCTAGATAAGAACATCTACTGTCTGATTCAGACAGGCAGTGACCTAGATAAGAACATCTACTGTCTTATTCATACCTGTAGTGACCTAGATAAGAACATCTACTGTCTTATTCAGACAGGCAGTGACCTAGATAAGAACATCTACTGTCTGATTCAGACCAGCAGTGACCTAGATAAGAACATCTACTGTCTGATTCAGACCAGCAGTGACCTAGATAAGAACATCTACTGTTTTATTCAGACAGGTAGTGACCTAGACAAGAACATCTACTGTCTTATTCAGACCAGCTGTGACCAAGATAAAAACATAGATTGTCTTATTCAGACCAGCAGTGACCTAGATAAAAACATCTACTGTCTTATTCAGACCAGCTGTGACCAAGATAAAAACATCCATTGTCTTATTCAGACCGGCAGTGACCTAGATAAGAACATCTACTGTCTGATTCAGACAGGCAGTGACCTAGATAAGAACATCTACTGTCTTATTCATACCTGTAGTGACCTAGATAAGAACATCTACTGTCTTATTCAGACAGGCAGTGACCTAGATAAGAACATCTACTGTCTGATTCAGACCAGCAGTGACCTAGATAAGAACATCTACTGTCTGATTCAGACCAGCAGTGACCTAGATAAGAACATCTACTGTTTTATTCAGACAGGTAGTGACCTAGACAAGAACATCTACTGTCTTATTCAGACCAGCTGTGACCAAGATAAAAACATCGATTGTCTTATTCAGACCAGCAGTGACCTAGATAAAAACATCTACTGTCTTATTCAGACCAGCTGTGACCAAGATAAAAACATCCATTGTCTTATTCAGACCGGCAGTGACCTAGATAAGAACATCTACTGGCTTGTTCAATGCAAGATCTACAGATGCGAGTCATGGACTAATCAATCAATAAAGAACAAAAGTTGAAGCCTTTGAACTGAAATGCCACAGAAAATGTTTTTAAAAATAGAATTGTATGAACTAAGAAGAAGAAAAACCTCAACATACAACATAATCTGAGCTTTAAGGAAAACTGGCTCATAAACAGCATCCTGTTCCGAAAGCTGGGGTATTTGGACTAGGTTGAACGTCATGGTGGCCTTGAGAGTACAGTGATGGAGGGTACAGCAGAGGCAGACCTCCGCAAAGGAATGAATGTTGCATTAAGAATTGACATCATAGCACTTGGGACACCCCCTTTCAGCAGCAAAGGAATAGTTCCAATTCTGATGGCACCAGTAACTGTCTGTATAACTAACTGTCCCTGGTAAAGACATTCTTTTGATGTTTTCAACATGAACTGTCCTTGGTAAAGACATTCTTTTTTGTTATCATCAACATGAACTATCCATACTAAAGACATTCTTTTGATCTGTTCAACATAAGTTGCCCTTGGTAAAGAAATTCTTTAGATCTGTTCAACATGAAATGTTCTTAGTAAAGACATTCTTTTGTTCTGTTCAACATGAAATGTTCTTGGTAAAGACATTCTTTTGATCTGTTTAACATGAAATGCCCTTGGTAATGAATTTCTTTTCCTTTGATCAACGAGAACTGTCCTAGGTGAAGAAATTCTTTTCATTTGTTGAACATGAACTGTCCTAGGTTTAAACAAAAACTATCCTACATTTTACTATCTGCTGAATTGTATAAAATGTGACTGGTTCCATTTTCAGTTAGTGAGATTAATACGAACTGTCCAAGACTTCAACATCTCCTCTTTTGACCTGATCAACATGAACTGCCTAGGTGTCAAATTAGATCAACATGAACTGTCCTAGGTTTCATACATGTTCAACATGAACTGTCCTAGCTTTCAATACTATTGACCCCATGAAGTGTGAAGAACAACAAAAAGGCAAAGTCTACCTTGGTCCATATGATCTCCCTGCCAAGAAGGATGGTGACCAAGTCCTCCGCCTCCTCCTGCCATCTTGCTGTAATAGTCATTGAGGTGATCATCCTCTTCCACACTTTCCCCATCCTCATCCAGGGAGGACATCGAGTTCAGGTGGCCTCTCTTTAGCTTCTTGTGTTGGATGCCTTGTGAAGTAAGAAAGCAAGCTGACAGTAAACTCATTCACGTGTTGTGTTTCCCGTGATCTATTCACCCCGCTGTGTTTCTGTGTTGTGCTCGTCATGTTGTTTTCACTGTGTTGTGTTCCCAGTGTTGTGTTCCCTGTGTTGTGTTTCCCCGCTGCAATGATGGGAATTCCCAGGAAACCCTAGAGAGTTTCCTAATTGAGGGGACAAGGTCCTGGAGGGCCAGGAAAATGAGACATGTGGGAAAAACGTGTCCAGTATATCCTGCTTCTGTAAACAAGTGTATGAGAAAAGTGTGAGATTAGCACGAAGAGCCAGTTGTGTTTTGACCGCGTGAGAGGCAGGTCGCTTGATGGTGCGACCGAGATGAACTTCATTGTGAACTGAAGGAATGCCACTGCTGAAAGCTAGGAATGTCTGAAGAAAACTGAATCTGAATTGCAAAGTCTAGTGTCTGTGAACACTGTGTTACTGTGATTCTTCTTCTTCTTTGTGTTCAGTTTTGTATGTTCAGATCAGACCATCAGGTGGGTCGCCTCTATGAACTCGCATGTCAGTAGCAGGTCCTTCATGGTTCCCCACAGCTTGCTCTGCACACTTTGCTCTTGAGGCCAGGTGTCTTTTCGAAGTTGTAGGTAGAGTGGGCAGGTCTGCAGAATGTGCTCAGGTGTTTGTGGTCCTGTTTGACAGGCACACTGTGGGGACTGTACAATCTGTATTTTATGTGATTCAGATGCGAACACGTGAATGGAACATTCTGACTGGCAGGTAACTGTACATAATGTCTAGTTGTCATTGTGTCGTGGCAGTCATGAGTGAGTGTCAACGACCAGGGAGAACTTTGGACATCGACTTAATGACTTATTTGCTGTACCATAATAAACTGCATCAATGTCATCATCATGTTTCAACAGTGCTTTCATGTGTCCAGACTTATCAGCATAATTGAGGCATCTATGAAGTCCAGACGGTAGAACAAGCCAAACAGCAACATTAGCACCACTGTTGTGTTCCCCATGTTGGGTTCTCTGTGTTGGAGAGATCCAGGCAGGTTTGCTTTATTTTTGTAAAAGGTAAAACCACGGCTCTGTGAGTGCTGGGTATCTCTGTATTACAGATAACATCACGGCTTCTGTGGGTGCTGGGTATCTCTGTATAACAGATAACATCACGGCTTCGGTGGGTACTGGGTATCTCTGTATAACAGATAACATCACGGCTCTGTGGGTACTGGGTATCTCTGTAAAACAAATAACATCACGGCTTCGGTGGGTACTGGGTATCTCTGTATAACAGATAACATCACGGCTTCGGTGGGATCAAGTATTTCAGTATAACAAGCACATCACTGCTTCGGTGGGCTCAAGTATTTCAGTATAACAAGCACATCATCGCTGGTGGGTATTGTGTCAGCTTCTGCTTTTCTGATTAGGCGCCACAGAAAGGAACAGTTTGCAGTGCCTGATGGGTGGCCTTGGTCAGTTAAATTCTGTGTAGAAGTGCACAGGCTTTAATGTCATCAATTCATCTTATTCTTGTGTGGTCTCTTGCTCTCATATCAGATCTTTTTAGTTTGAAGCACCTGTTTTTGTTCTGGCTAACTGCTGTGGCTATACTCTTAATAAGATACTCAAACCATTTGGTCCTCTACCTCTCAGTGAATCGGGTGCAGAGTGCTACTTTCACAGTCTGTCAGACAGTATGAGTCAAATAATTTAAAAAAAATCAAAATTCTGGACAAAAATCATCAAGAAAGTTTATTTAAAAACAAATATTACACACAGAAAATAAAAAAGGAGACAACATACATTCAGATTTAGAGATGCTGAGAGAGAAGAGACAGAAGAGTCAGATAAAGTTAATGAGAGAGAAAGTAAGAGATGAGAGGAGATGGGAACAGAAGAGAATAAGCAAGAAGAGAAAAGAGAAGAGTGGACAAGAGAAGAGAACTGAAGAGAAGAGCACAGAGAAGAGAGGAGAGATGAGCAGAGAAATGAAAAGACGAGCAGAGGAGATGAGAAAAGAGAAAAGAAGAGAGAACAGAACACAGCAATAAGAGGAGAGAAGAAAGCAGAAGACGAGAGGGGAGAAGAGTACAGGAGAGGGGATAAGAGTACAGGAGAGGGGAGAAGAGTACAGGAGAGGGGATAAGAGTACAGGAGAGGGGATAAGAGTACAGGAGAGGGGAGAAGAATACAGGAGAGTGGAGAAGAGTACAGGAGAGGGGAGAAGAGTACAGGAGAGAGGAGAAGAGTACAGGACAGGGGAGAAGAGTACAGGAGAGGAGAGAAGAGTACAGGACAGGGGAGAAGAGTACAGGAGAGGAGAGAAAAGTACAGGAGAGGGGAAAAGAGTACAGGAGAGGAGAAAAGAGTACAGGAGAGGAGAGAAGAGTACAGGAGAGGAGAGAAGAGTACAGTATACGGGAGAAGAGTACAGAAGAGGAGAGAAGAGTACAGTAGAGGAGAGAAGAGTACAGGAGAGGGGAGAAGAGTACAGGAGAGAGGAGAAGAGTACAGGAGAGGCAAGAAGAGTACAAGAGAGGGGAGACTGGTACAGGAGAGTGGAGAAGAGTACAGGAGAGGGGTGAAGAGTACAGGAGAGGGGTGAAGAGTACAGGAGAGGGGAGAAGAGTAGAGGAGAAAAGTGTACAGGAGAGAGAAGAGTACAGGAGAGGGGAAAAGAGTACAGGAGAGGAGAGAAGAGTAGAGGAGAGGGGAAAAGAGTACAGGAGAGGGGAGAAGAGTACAGGAGAGGAGAGAAGAGTACAGGAGAGGGGAGAAGAGTACAGGAGAGGGGAGAAGAGTACAGGAGAGGGGAGAAGAGTACAGGAGAGGAGAGAAGAGTACAGAAGAGGAGAAAAGAGTACAGGAGAGGAGAGAAGAGTACAGGAGAGGGGAGAAGAGTACAGGAGAGGAGAGAGGAATACAGGAGAGGGGAGAAGAGTACACGAGAGGGGAGAAGAGTACAGGAGAGGGGAGAAAAGTACAGGAGAGGAGAGAAGAGTACAGGAGAGTGGGGAAGAGTACAGGAGAGGGGAGAAGAGTACAGGAGAGGGGAAAAGAGTACAGGAGAGGGGAGAAGAGTACAGGAGAGGAGAGAAGAGTACAGGAGAGGGGAGAAGAGTACAGGAGAGGGGAGAAGAGTACATGAGAGGGGAGAAGAGTACAGGAGAGGAGAGAAGAGTACAGGAGAGGGGAGAAGAGTACAGGAGAGGGGAGAAGAGTACAGGAGAGGAGAGAGGAATACAGGAGAGGGGAGAAGAGTACACGAGAGGGGAGAAGAGTACAGGAGAGGGGAGAAGAGTACAGGAGAGGGGAAAAGAGTACAGGAGAGGGGAAAAGAGTACAGGAGAGGAGAGAAAAGTACAGGAGAGGAGAGAAGAGTACAGGAGAGTGAGGAAGAGTACAGGAGAGGGGAGAAGAGTACAGGAGAGGGGAGAAGAGTACAGGAGAGGGGAGAAGAGTACAGGAGAGGGAAGAAGAGTACAGGAGAGGGAAGAAGAGTACAGGAGAGGGAAGAAGAGTACAGGAGAGTGGAGAAGAGTACAGGAGAGGAGAGAAGAGTACAAGAGAGGGGAGAGGAGTACAGAAGAGGAGAGAAGAGTACAGGAAAGGGGAGAAGAGTACAGGAGAGGAGAGAAGACTACAGGAGAGGGGAGAAGAAAATACAAAAGAATAGGAGAGGAGAGAATAGATCAGACGAAAAGAAGAGAAAATAAGAGAAACAACACAGATATTTCAGACAAACAATAGGCAAGCTGGCAGACAAATGGCAAAAAAGCAGGAAGATAAACATACAGAATAAGAGGCAGACAGACACCATGCAAGCAGGCACACAGACAGACAATAGGAAGGCAAGCAAAACATGTGGGAAATCAGGGGGATGGACAGAACAATCAACAGATGATCAAAATAAAAAAGAAAGTAAAAGATAAAACTTTAAAATAATGGCAAAAGGGAGAGACAATCACCTGTAGGACAAAAGACATATGACTGACCATTGTTCATGGCAAGTGCATGCATAGAGACCATCGTTGGCTGACCGTGGTCTTGGGGGCTGTAGTTGTAATAGCTAGGCGAATCCATCCTTCCCTGGGGGATGAGCGGGTGGGACCCATTCGGCATCATCATTATGGAGGCTGCACAGACACAATGAACTATCATTACTGCTTGTAAAGTTGAGAGGACTGACTTCTTTGCTAAGAGTTTTAAATCAGATATGGCTGTGACTTTCTTCCTACCACCCACCCACTCATGTGACATGAACCCACGACCTATAAAGCGGAAAGCAAATGGACCGACTACTTCACCATGGAGACCCTGACACCCCATTACTGCCTGTGATTTACTACTTTGGGGGGGGGGGGGGGGAGGGGGGAGAGGAAGGAGGACAAGCCAAACAGTTTATTGCGGCCCCAGAGATGTGGTTTCACCCAAGAATCCACTGAATTTCTTAGGGAAGCCACAAAGAGCAACCCAGATGTTCTGAAAGAGGTGAAAGCTTAAAAACAACTTATAAAGAGGGTCATCGTTTTCTGGTCATGTTATGAGAAGAAGAAAACTGGAACATGTTGTGACTAGTGAAAAGATCTGTGGCAAAAGAGACAGGGGAAGACCGCGAGAAGATTCTTAACAGCTTTTGTTATGGCAAGGAGGGATGTCAACACATGAACTGACACACAGAGTCGCAGATTGCAGATTGTAGAGAGGCATAAATCATCCACGCCAGTAGGCAAGGCACTTTTGATGATAAGCGGGACAGCGAGGCTGAAACCGAGCAATTAAGGGTGCATAGTCGATGCAGTCATCAAGAACTGTGCAGGTTAGGTTTCTTATTTTTGCCCTGAAATAACATAATCCTCACCCCAACATTGATGATTTAAGATGTCTTCCAAATGACAGCCCAGAGTTCTAACCATTCGTCCGCCCACTCCTCTACAATTCCAATGTTTAAAAAAATAAAGGTACCACATTCAACCTGCGCTTACATTATTCAGTTATATTTGTGGTCTGGTTTATTTGTGCCAAATTTATTTGCTGAGATTTCTATATTTGCTCCAGGATTTATGGCTTAGTGTCCCTATCTGAATGTAGTGTCACTCTGTACACGTCTAGGTCCCAAGTTTGGCCTGCTACCTCCTCTTCAATGAACAGATTGACAAAAGAATAAGACGAGATTTGTACTATCTATCGCTGGCTACTGTGTCAGTCAGGATCATTAAGGCAGAACCGAGGGGGAGGGGGGGGGGGGGGAACCAACAGATCCTAGAGCGATGTTCTTTAAGCTGTGGAGCGTGGTCCTGGTCTCCCTCTGCCTCTTTTAGCCCCCAACTTTCCCGCTGTTAAGATGTCTTCCTGGTTTCTCCCTTTCATGTCATAACTAAAGAATGTAGACTATCTCCTTCTGATTCTTTTAGCCTCAAACTTCCCCGCTGTTAAGAGATGTTCCAGGTTTCTCCCTCTCATGTCATGACTAAAGAATGTCTCCCACTGTCTCTTTTAGCCTCCAAGTTCCCCACTGTTAAGATTTATTCCAGGTTTCTCCCTCTCATGTCATGACTAAAGAATGTAGACTGTGTCCTTCTGTCTCCCTCTGATTCTTTTAGCCTCCAACTTTCCCACTGTTCAGATGTATTCCAGGTTTCTCCCTCTCATGTCATGACTAAAGAATGTAGATTGCCTCCTTCTGTCTCCCTATGCTTCTTTTAACCTCCAACTTCCCCGCTGTTAAGATGGATTCCAGGTTTCTACCTCTCATGTCATGACTCAAGAATGTAGACTGTCTCCTTCTGATAGAGGCAATCAGTTCTCTGGCATTCCCAACAATAACCTAGCTCACAATAGATGCAGGACATTTTCCTGGCTCAGACATGAAAACTAATGAATCACTAACTAAAAAAAAAAAAAAAAAAAAAAAATCACTCACACAATTCTATTTCTTCTTTGTTCGAAATTAAAAGGGTGGTAAACCATTATGTTGTGGTTTACAGCTAGGCTGTCATAGCCACACTTTTATTTATCTTACTTTTTTGTTTCTTAATAAGTAGCTTTTCACAACATGCAGTGAGTCTACCCCCCCCCCCCACCCCCAAATGAGGCCCTGAAATCCATATGGAGGTCTCAGAAGATTAAGTGAACCAAATGTTTTCAGGTGTCATTCTATATCTTATTCTTAATGGGCATTAACTGAACCGCTTTCAGGTGTCATTCTATATCTTATTCTCATTAGCCATTAACTGACCCAATGGTTTTCAGGTGTCATTCTATATCTTATTCTCATTAGCCATTACCTGAACCAATTGTTTTCAGGTGTCATTCTATATCTTATTCTCATTAGCCATTAACTGAACCAATGGTTTTCAGGTGTCATTCTATATCTTATTCTTATTGGCCATTAACTGAACCAACGGTTTTCAGGTGTCATTCTATATCTTATTCTTATTGGCCATTAACTGAACCAATTATTTTCAGGTGTCATTCTATATTTTATTCTCATTGGCCATCAACGGAACCAATTGTTTTTAGGTGCATTCCATATCTTATTCTCATTGGCCATTAACTGAACCAATTGTTTTCAGGTGTCATTCTATATCTTATTCTTATTGGCCATTAACTGAACCAAATGCTTTCAGGTGTCATTCTATATCTTATTCTTATTGGCCATCAACGGAACCAATTATTTTCAGGTGTCATTCTATACCTTATTCTTATTGGCCATTAACTGAACCAAATGCTTTCAGGTGTCATTCTATATCTTATTCTTATTGGCCATCAACGGAACCAAATGCTTTCAGGTGTCATTCTATATCTTATTCTTATTGGCCATCAACAGAAACAATTGTTTTCAGGTGTCATTCTATATCTTATTCTCATTGGCCATTAACTGAACCAAATGTTTTCAGGTGTCATTCTATATCTTATTCTTATTGGCCATTAACTGAACCAAATGCTTTCAGGTGTCATTCTATATCTTATTCTCATTGGCCATTAACTGAACCAATTGTTTTCAGGTGTCATTCTATATCTTATTCTTATTGGCCATTAACAAAAACAATTGTTTTCAGGTGTCATTCTATATCTTATTCTCATTGGCCATTAACTGAACCAAATGTTTTCAGGTGTCATTCTATATCTTATTCTCATCGGCCATTAACTGAACCAATTGTTTTCAGGTGTCATTCTATATCTTATTCTTATTGGCCATTAACTGAACCAAATGCTTTCAGGTGTCATTCTATATCTTATTCTCATTGGCCATTACCTGAACCAATTGTTTTCAGGTGTCATTCTATACCTTATTCTTATTGGACTTAACGGAACCAATTGTTTTCAGGTGTCAGTCTATATCTTATTCTCATTGGCCATTAACTGAACCAATTGTTTTCAGGTGTCATTCTATACCTTATTCTTATTGGCCATCAACGGAACCAATTGTTTTCAGGTGCCATTTTATATCTTATTCTTATTGGCCATTAACTGAACCAATTGTTTTCAGGTGTTATTCTATATCTTATTCTCATTGGCCATTAACTGAACTAATTATTTTCAGGTGTCATTCTATACGTTATTCTTATTGGCCATCAACGGAACCAATTGTTTTCAGGTGTCAGTCTATATCTTATTCTCATTACTTTATTCAACTTCTGTAGCCATGAAAAAAAATATTTTCTGGAGCTGTTGTTATTCTTCTTCATGCTTACCAACCCTAAAAACAATAATTTTTCCCTCATTTTGACTTCTGTTGAGCAGCTTCATTGCTGTTTCTTAAGCATATGAAGCCTAGCCTTATTCGAAATCTTGTGATATTTTCTATTTCCTTCATCATTTATTGTTATTTTTGGGTGACAGTTTTGTCCATGGACATTAATTTTATTTTGTTTCAATTCAGAAACAGGTTTTGATCATCACTGTGTCGTTGGACAGACATGATAAAAGTTCTATTCCCTTTAAATTAAGAGTAAAGTGTGATCCTTACCTCGTGTTAACCGCAACAGCTCCGAAGAAGAAAACACCCCTGTAGCAAAAATACTGTCATTGCCAGACAATCCTGACTGAATGCTGCCAGGGACTTTGAGGGACCAAAAAAAAACACAGAAAGAAAGAAAATATTTAGTCTAGGCACTGAAGATAGGCATGCATGTTATCATCATCAAGTGCCCTGTCAATCCATGTTATCATCATCAAGTGCCCTGTCAATCCATGTTATCATCATCAAGTGCCCTGTCAAACTACAAGTGTGTTCATCTATTTCAACCTCTTTTAATCTCATTAATCTCACAATGGATCAATTTATTTGGAGAAATTTTGTATGTCCTAATGACAAGCTGTCATGAATCCCCTAGACAGTTTCCTCTGGGGGTTTTTTGTATGTGTTTTTATTTATTTATTAATCTTATCAATTGTAAAGATATGTTGAATTTTTTTTCTGTTTTAAATAATTCAGTACAAAGATTATGTCTGTGATTACGTAAAAAAAAATATACCAATTTAAAACTCCAGAAACGTCTATAGATTGTAAATTTATGTATATGTCTATCTGCTGATTCATCGATCCGTCCTTTAGGTGCTGCAAATAGACTTAATAATTCCAAAGTACTTGGTTCAATTACAGCTGCAGGCGATTTGACAGTAGACCGCTTTCTACAGTAGTATGGAGAGCCAACCATTTAGAAAGCAATCACAAACTACTAAGGCTGGGTTTGCAACATCCTGTAAAGGATACACAACTTTTTAAAAGAAACTATCCATCCACACACCAAACTGAAATTTTTTGGTCATATCAAGCACTAAAAGAATAGTAGCAAAAGTCATGACCCCAGGAAAGGAAGAGGGGGGGGGGGGGGGGGGGGCAGGGTCTGACCAGCATGAAGATGGACAAACTTTGCATAGAAAAGTTCACGGGGCAGAAGCTCTGGCGAAAGACTGAGTTTCTTTCAGGGAAACCGTGATGACAGCTTGCTACATGATGATGCTGATCCACCCATCCAATCCACTGCAAGGTGGGGAGACTGAGTTTCTGAGATGAACGCTGCAAATATCTTGCGCTGCCAGAGTCTGGCCCTAACCCCAACCCACCTACGTCCCACGAGAGAGTGCAGCCTAGATCCCATTACTGCATGCAGCCTATCTACCAACCCTTGAAATATTAGACTGTTCCGTGATCTGTGAACTTCTCCTGTTTGGGGTAGGATATTAATAAAGAACCTTTACATGTTATAACTTATAAATGAGACACTGGAAAACATACTGATGAAGGGAGGAAGAAGCGGCAGAGGAAGACAGAGAAATTACGATGAATACTGTATGCAGGATATCGTGGTATGGGACGTCGCAGGTCGACCCAGCCTCAAATGGGTACCAAGATGGGCTGTCCTGGGAAAGTAAAGACGGCCGGCGTAGTGCTGACCACATTACCCACCAAGTGCCGATTGGTCTGTAAAAATAGGGGTGCTCTTCCCATACGCCCGATGCGCCTAAGGGCGTGTATAGGGATCTTTACTTACTTTTACTTTACTGTATGCGGGAGCATTGTGAATAAAATTGGTCTCAAATACTTAGGACCAAGCTCTTTGTAGAGTCATGAACACCTATGTTAACTGACAAAGAACATGATGATGATTGCATTAATTGGTTGTCAACTCCAGCAGAAGGTTCTGGTTGTTCATCCACTTCTGAACTCAAGGTCTTGCACCAGAACTTGAGTTTTCCATGCACATCTATTTCACATATTGGTTACCTGTATGCAGACTGTTGGTTCCTCAACTCTCAGGCAGATGTACTCTGACTTCAACGAAAACCCCACTATGAATAATGACATGCTTTTTAGTGGGCGGTAAGTCTACCCCCACCCCCATCCCCCCATATGGCGTTCGAACTAACACAGGGATGGGTGTTCACGCATGTATGTCTGACAAAACATATAGTTCTCTCGGTTTAAAATGCTTACACAACAGTTTCTTGAGTTTTCAATCTGCCATGTTTTGAAAACTGTAACAGTGTCTTCAAGTTCACAAGTTTAACGTATTTTTAAAAAAAAGGTGCCCTTTTATTTCCTTATTTTAAGACAAAACTAGCTTCTCCCGTAAATAAAAAAAAAAAAAAAAAAGCAACATAGTTTTGCCTGGCAGTTTTATTCTAAACGGCTGTCAAACATAAAAGTCAGTAAAGATTATTGTCTACGAATCACAAGTCCATAAAAGCAGTTCATCGCAACAATAAAAGACAGGTAAAACTGAATCGACTTTAAAATCAGCATTTCCCTAAGTAGCAGTTATTTAAGTGCCTTTCTTATTTTTTTTTTTTTCAAGGCAAGTACAAAGAAGCAAATGGTGTGTGAATATTCATGAAGTCAATTTCTGGGCATTATTAAGATTATTTTTATTTGACAGATATATCTTCTTATGTGTTGAGGTGCGTCAAAAATTGACATGGCTGCTCTCGGGGCATTCCCCTGCATGCTCCGTCCTCATCTTCAGCAGCCAGCGTAGAGTTCCAATACTGATGGTACCGGTCACAATCTGGTTAAATGTCCGTCTTGCCTTTCCTCTGAGTGTAGTGAGCTGGCCAGACCCTCTGGTTACACCCAGGTGCCTCATTCTCTCCAGGCCATAATAATCTTCTTTCTCTACTGATTTCGTTGCTTGTTCCCAAAGGCCTTGACTACATCTGCCTTGACATGTATCAACTCACCACCCATAGGTGCAGGTCCAACGAATCTGTCTGCCTGTTTATTCCCCACCACATCGGCCCCATTCTCCCAGTCTTCACCTTTTTCAGCATGCTTTCAGAGTCTGTTACAATTACAACATGTGTTTGCATCTTGTTCTCTCTAACCAACGGAGAGCTGCAGTTACTACCTCCACATCCATTCTCATGCTAGATGTTGTGGAGTCATATGCTAGGCTGTTTTACACTAAAGATTTTCCATTGGCTTTCGCTACGAACCCCCAGGAACTTCTCTTTCCTCTCAGCACTGAACCATCTGTATAGATAATCAGATCACCAGCATGTGAATTGTCATATATCAACTGTTAGACTTCAACCTCTGTAGCACCTGCTGGCCACTCTCTGCACACCCGGCCCAAAATGATCATAACCATACACAGGTCAGATTTTTCTGCTGGTACTCTGACCCACTCCTCTCCTTGCTCAATGTTTTGCAGCATGCATACTTGTCTTATTGTGTCTTCTGCTTGAGCCATCCATGATATTCCCCTTTTTAGCCTCTGACCCTTGCCTGCAGGCAAAGCTTCATACAGAGGGTGTTCCCTGTCTGCAGCTACTCTGAGGTATGACTTAGCCTGCAGCACCTTTAGCCTATTTGCAAAAGTCGACAGTGCAAGGATGTATCGCATGCACACAATCTGGGTGTTTCTTGTACAACCCAGGATCAACCGCATAGCATTCTGTATGCGCTCCAGTTTCTCTAGCTCACTCTTCGAGACAGTGAGTAAGCCCAATCCATAATTTATCAATGAGATGATTAAGTGCTGGTAAAGTGTGAACAGCATTCTCTACTCCATGTCCATCACTGCCATAATCTTAAGATTTAGAGCAATTTGACCTTTTTAAACCGTTGTCACAACTTCCTCTATGTGATCCCTGAAAGACAAACTTCTGTCAAAGTTGATTCCCAGGTACAGCAGTCTGCTGTCTCTTTTGAGATTTATTTTCAGTCAGGGAACATCAGCTCTAACAATCTTGTTGTTCAAAGATCACCACAGGACAGTTGCATTGTCTATCACCTTATGATTGATGTTTTTTTTTTTTTTTTTGAGGTAGTAGGCAAATCTGGGTTTTAATTTTCAGTTTTTTAATCAGCACTCAAAGAATGATACTGACCACATATCTATTAATAACACAGAGTGTGATCAAGGCCTTTTGATAGCAAGTAAACAATGCAGAAGCTGGAATCAAGTACTACAGTCTGGAATGAATTGTGCAGCAGGTAGTAACCAAGGGGGTCTGGCTGACACTAAAAATGCAAAGGGTACTGTCTGCATATTTACTACTCTGAGGTTGGTCAAGGTTTTGGGTCAAGCCCTACTGGAAGCAGGTAAACAATGCAGCAGCAGCAATAGATTATTATTATAGTCTGAGCAATAGGTTATTACAGTCTGAGCAAAAGAGTGCAGCACTTGGTGACCGGGGGATCTGGCTCTCACTTAATTTTTTAAAGGGTACTGACCGCATATCTACTACTTGGGGGTGGTCAAGTCCCTGGGGTCAAGGCCTTTTGAAAGCAACTGAACAATACAGTGGAAACATATTACTATGGTCTGGAGAGAACAGTGCAGCAGGAAGCGACCAAAGGATCTGGCCATAACTCAACATTTAAAGGATACTGCTGCATATCTACTACTTGAGGGTGGTCAAAGACTTCTGAGAGCAACCGAACAATGCAGAAGCTGGAACAGATTATTACGGCCTGGAGAGAACAGTGCTGCAGGGAGCGACCAGGGGATCTGGCCAACACTTAACACTCAGAGGAAAAGCAAGATGGACATATAACCAATCTGCTACTGGCATCATAAGAATTAAAACACTGTGCCAGCTCTCGAAGAAAGGGACTGAGCACTGGCTGAGATAGTTGGTATCAAAAGAGTTCAGAGTTTCTTCTTCTTATCTGTATTCACTGGCAGTAAACTCAAGCAGAAAGTTCTAGTTAATCATGCACTAACGAGTTTGGTTTTGTTGCAGAGCTTGGAGTTTTGCGTGCACATCCATTTTACAAATCTAGCTTATTTTGGGCAGACTGCTGTTTCCTTGTCTCTAATGTAGATGCACTCTGACTGTGAAGGAAACTCCCCTAATTAGTCGCATTTTACGACAAGCTTGTTGGGTGGGGGCGCGTAAAGCTGTTCTCCCCCCCCTCCCCCCTCCATAATGAAGCCCTGGAAACCACATGGAGTAGTTCTTTTAAAGTCAATCTCCTAGAAAATTCACATCAAAACAAACAGACGCCTCATCTGTACCACCTCCCATGAACATCTTTACTGCCTATATTTACCAATTTATAGGGGGGTACAGATACTAAATCGACAAAAGAGAAGAAGCTTAGTAAAAGACGCAAGAGTAATCCCTAACATCTCTTTAAATACAGACTATCGACCGCTGATCGTATATCTAAGCGAAGCAACAATTAACAAAAAACCAAAAACATCAGTACGTACCTCAATGATTGACATAAGACACCTAAGCAATCTAGACAACCAAGCAAAAGTACAGGCAGAAATGACGGCGAAGATGGCTGAGCTAATAACATCAAGTGACAATATGGAATCTGCGTGGCAAAAATTTAAGAACACTCTTCTGAACTGCCTAACAACACTCTGTGGTATTAGATACACAGGAGGAACGTTCAGGAAAAAAAACAGCATGGTGGAATGATAAAGTAAAACAATCAGTGAAATGTAAAAAGGAGCAATACAAGAAATGGCTAAGATCCCGCTCAGATGACGATTATATCAAGTACAGAATTGCCAGGCGACAATCTGCAAGAGAAATTAAACAATCCAAGGAAACATCCTGGATCATGTATGGGGAAAATCTTACCAAAATCTGTGCTAAATCTAGTAGACAGTTTTACAAAACCATTGCAAAAATGAGAACTAGAGATGAACCATTCCAGCCATCTGAATATGTCAATGATAGTCAAGGCAAACCCATACATGAGGAGGGCAAGATCAGAGAGAGGTGAAAAGAATATTTTCAGACTCTTCTGAATGTAACAGGAAATGAGGAAACAGTACCATTCACACCCAGATGTACAAACGAGGAACAGCCTACAATAATCGAACAAGAAGTCAGAGAAGCAATCAGATGCAGTCCCAAAAATAAGGCATCAGGTGTTGATGGAATATCAGCCGAGGCAATACAGGCTTGTGGAGAAATTGGAGTCACCTGGCTACTCCACATATTTAGGAAAGCCTGGAATGAAAGGACTGTACCAATAGACTGGCAAAGAGCCCTTATAGTCCCAATTTGGAAAAGAAAAGGCAATAAGCAAGATTGTAACAATTACAGAGGCATCTCCCTTCTAAGCCACGTAGGAAAAATGTTTGCCAAAATTCTGGAACAACGAATTAGATCCGTTGTAGAACCGATCCTGAGCCCATCACAGGTCGGATTTAGGAAAGGAAGAGGGTGTACTGACGCTATTTTTGCTTTAAGACAAGTTAGCGAAAAGACAATAGAACACAGACATCAAATGAACATCGCTTTCATAGATCCGGAAAAAGCTTTAGATAGAGTAAACAGAAATTTATTATGGAAAGTTCTTGAAAACTACGGTATAAATGGAACAATTTTAGATTGTGTTATGGCTATTTATAGACAAAGTGAAAGCGCCATTAGAACAAGAGCTGGCATCACAGACTGGTTCCCAGTAACATAAGGAGTAAGACAAGGTTGTGTATTATCACCTTTACTTTTCATAATATTTATGGACAATATTAATAAAATAGACATAACACCAACAGATGTCGATAAACAGGAGGACTTCAATGAGCTGCTCTTTGCCGACGATCAATGCATATTTCACAGTGATAGTAAACAGCTGCAAGACCACATAAACCTACTACACGACAGTTGCCTCAAGCATCATATGAAGATCAATACTGAAAAGACAGAAGTCATGAGCATAAGTAGAGAGTAACAGACCATCGACAAAGATTCTAGATCACAGCCTAAAACAAGTGCAAGAATTTAAATACTTGGGAAGTATCTTTACATCCAATGGTAAAATAGACAGAGAGATCGAAGTAAGAATCGAACAAGCCAACAATGTCGCATACCAGCTTGCCCCAATTTTAAAACACCCTGCTTTCCCAGCTGAGATAAAAAGACAAATTATAAATACAATCTTTATACCGACATTAGGTTATCAATGTCAGACTTGGACATTAACAAAAGAACACGAGAGAAGACTAACCACCTGTGAAATGAGATGTTTGAGAATGGCTGCGAATAAAACCAGAAGAGATCGAGTGAGAAACGATGTGATTACAAGAACTATTGGAACCATACCCATCGTTAAATTTATTGAGAAGCAAAGAATGAAATGGTTTGGTCACCTAATGAGAATGGAACCAACGATGCCAGCATCAAGAGCATACAACATGAAAATCGAAATACCAAGAGGCAGGGGAAAACCAAGAAGAAGATGGATTGAAGGAGTCACGGACAACTTGAGACTTCATAACATCACGGCATATGAAGCGACTGAGCGCGCCCTGGCTCGGTTGCCGATCATCTGATAGACTGCGACGCCTAGCGGCACAAGCAGATTTTGACAAAAGAAGAGACAGAATTAGGGAGCAGTGAGCTTCAGGAGTTAAGGTCACATGGCTAGTGCAGTCGCAACAAACTGCAGGTTCGGACTTTTGCCCCCAACACAAAATTCTTAATTTTTTTTTATTTTAATGAAAATTCTTCTTCTTTTTCTTAGCTTTCACCGACTGCAAACTCCAGTGGAAAGTTCTGGTTGTCTGTGCATCTAGACTGGTCTTTCAGAACATGAGCTTTGCATGCGCATCTGTTTTACCCATCTGGCTTATTTGTATGCAGACTCTAGGTTATCACATGAAGATGCACTCCGACTTCAAAGACAACTCCCCCAATAAGTGACCTTCTACAACATGCCTGTTAGGGAGGAAGTGAGTCTATACTCTTTTAATATCCCCAAAATGGTGCTCTGGAACCCACAGAAGAAAGAACTGAAGATTCAAATCTGACTCTCTTGCATGACAGCTAAGTATTCTACTCTTGGTCAGAACCTCCAAAATGACTGAAAGGGTTGATTACAAAGCCTGAAAGACCGACCCAACATTAAGTTGACAAAATCACTCTACTCACCATAGCTGTGAATAAAGTTTGCCAAATACAAATCAATCTCCCTGACCGTGACACTAATGTGATGCGGGTTCACACACAGATTAGGATGCATACAGTCTGGTGACTTCTCCAGCCTCTCCCCATCCGTTGACTCCAGCGGGATGGCCTTGAACAGGATGACCATGACCAGGTCCAGACGCCAGACCTTGTCTGCCTGCCGCAAGCAGTCAATGCGCCTCATCTTGCCCTTCTGGTCGGGGTTGCTCAGCACGCATATGGGGTTCCGTTTGCGAGTGATGCTCAGCACAAAGTCTTCTCGGCACTCCTGGTTTATGTCCTTCCGCAGCTTTGCCAGAAGTCTGGATGCCCACTTTTGTTTGACGTCAGCTTTCTCATTCTAAAGAGCATATGATAAGGTTGAATGTTACTGTAACACTGTAGCGCAATGTTTCTCAAACTGTTTTTAGTCGCGGCGCATTTTTTCAATTACAAATTTTCAACGGCTCCCGAACTTAAGTAAAAGTATGACTATATGTATGTAAGAGATCAAAACAAATAAAACCTGTGTAACTTCAAATATTTTGCGCCGCCCCTGTGAAGAGGTCGCGGCTCCCTAGGGCGTCGCAGCACACAGTTTGGGAATCACTGCTGTGGAGACAAAGGTGGAGCTGAGAGAGGAAACAGTTCAGAATAAAAGAAAAAAAATGAAATGCCAAACTACAAATGGATAAAGAAAGAGTAAGCAACAATTACAGCACTGTCAGCAAAACAATTACAAGAACATATTAACAGACTCCACTCTACTCAACTATCACATAAAGAGCAATGTAGACAAAACAGAAGTAATGACATTCTCCAGAAAAGGAAGAACCACTAATATCAAAACTGATGAACACCAGTTAAAGCAAGCAAATATGGGGAGCATTTTCATACAAGACGGAAGAATGAATAAAGAAATCCAACAAGGATTCAATAAAGCCAATTAAGTTTTAAGCCAAATGGCATCAATTTTGAAATGCAAGCATGTGAATAAGGACACTAAAAGAACACTGTTGAACATAATATTCTTACCAATGCTATGCTATCAATGTCAAACATGGACACTGTCTTCAGAAGACAGAAGGAAAATAGTCATGACAGAAATGAAATGTTTACATACTATGCAAGGTGTAACGAGGAAAGATCGACTTAGGAACGATGTTGTCAGGAGGAGAGTCGGCACAGAACCAATACTGAACTTTATAGTTAGACAACAAATCAAATTGTTTGGCCATGTAACAAGATTGGCATCACAGGACACCACAGAGAGCAGTGTTATACAGATACAACAGTAACAGAGCCAGAGGTCGTCCACACAGAAGACAGGCAGCAGAAATATCAAAGACACTAAAAAGTACTTTATACAAAGCTAACAGAACAGCCTGTTCCAGAGATCTCTTCCTGTCCAGAGGCTGCGAGGCATTCCAGGAGTTAAGAAAAGAAATAGGCGAAGAAGTGGTAAAAAAAAAAAGATTTAGATAGGATAAAGAAGATAATAAATAGCTAAATTAACACCCCTTCCCCCACCCTTTTTTCCCCCCTTTGCTCATCTGCTACTGGGGGGAAAAAAAAAATTATTTCAATAACAAAAAAGAAGAGAGATACACAGAAAATTTTTCTCACAGCGCTTTTATTCACCAGATCAACAGGAGCTAAGATGTCTGCTCAACTTGTCTGGGACCCTTCTAAGGGATGTACACAAGTTTAAACTTATTTCAGTGTCAGAAATTCCCCGTGTATGACCCGGGAGACCCACACTGGAGGAAAAAGAATAGACAAATGCCCCACTATCAAGCACGTTGTAAACGTAAATTAATTAGGAGTGATTACTTCAAAGTCGGAACAAACAGTCTGCATACAAATAAGCCAGACATGTGGAAGAAGACTGAAGTCCTGGAGTGGACGTACAGCCAGAACTTTCAACTAGAGTTTACAACCGGGGAATGTGAAGAAGAAGAAGAGAAGATTCTGCTGCGTCATTACGTGTCACATAAGGCCCAGAGTCTATTCCTCCATTCATGTGTAATCCTTTCAAAATCCTGGAAGGAATCCAATCTAGCACGTTAAGCCTCTTTTATGAACATTTACTTTAGTTTCTCCTCGTTCCTTTAACCGAATGGTTTCCCATTTCACTGCCTGGTGATTCTCTGATCTTTCTTCTCAAGATGTGCCCAATACAGCACCATCATCTTTGTCTTATAACTCACCGTTGTCTTATAACTCATCTTTGTCTTTTAACTCACCTTTGTCATATAGCTCATCTTTCGTATAACTCATCTTTGTCTTATAACTCATCTTTGTCTTATAACTCATCTTTGTCTTATAACTCATCTTTGTCTTATAACTCATCTGTGTCTTATGACTAGCTCATCTTTGTCTTTTCACTCATTTTTGTCCTATAACTCAACCCATCTTTGTCATATAACTCCTCTTTGCCTGAAAACTATGTTGCCCTAAAGTAATGGTCTCATCATTTCTTTTAACGTGGACAAAATGTATGAAACCAGATAAACTTATGAACTAACCTGCAACTCTTCCTTGACTCTCCTCTCCTCCTCCAAAGACATCCTCTTCTCGTGTTTCTTGAAGTATTTCCTCTTGGATGCTTGCAAGTTGAACCATGTGTAGGAGAAAGACTTGACATGAGGCAATAGCGCCTCAATAAAAGGGTGGAATTCATCCTGAAATAAATGCACACACCTTGGTTTCACATCAATGTTGTGTAAAAAGTATATGTGTATGCTTTTGTGTGTTACATGTTTCTTATATGGAACAAAGCAAAATGAAAAGGAGAAAAGCTGTGGAAGAAGCATTATTGGTGGGAGATTAAATAAGAGTAGAGAAGACAGTAAGGGTTGAAAATGAGACAGTGCTGGAGAAAAAGGAGCTGGAGGAGTTAATATCAATAAGAAGGAAGGGTTAACTTGGAGGACATAATGTGGAGGAGAAGGCGGAAGAGTTAGCATGGAGGAGAAGGAAGAGTTAATGTGAAGAACAAGGAGGAAGAGGTAAGGTGGAGGTGAAGAAGTTAATGTGGAGAAGGAGGAAGAGGTAACGTGGAGAAGTTAATGTGCAGGAAAAGGAGGAGTTAATGTGGAGGAAGAGGAGGAAGAGTTAACATGGATGAAAAGGGAGAGCTAACATAAAGGGAAAAGGAGGAGTTAACCTGGACGAGAAGGAGGAATTAATGTGGAGAAGGAGGAGTTAATGTGGAGAAGAAAGAGGGGTTACCGTGGAGATGAAGGAAGAGTTAATGTGGAGAAGAAGGAAGAAGAAAGAGGTAACATGGAGAAGGAGGAGTTAACTTGGAGGAGAAGGAAGAAGAGGTAACATGGAGAAGGATAAGTTAACTTAGAGGAGAAGGAAGGAGAGGTAACATGGAGAAGGAGGAGTTAACTTGGAGAAGGAAGAAGAGGTAACATGGAGAAGGAGGAGTTAACTTTGAGGAGAAGGAAGAAGAGGTAACATGGAGAAGGAGGAGTTAACTTGGAGAAGGAAGAAGAGGTAACATGGAGAAGGAGGAGTTAACTTGGAGAAGGAAGAAGAGGTAACATGGAGAAGGAGGAGTTAACTTGGAGAAGGAAGAAGGGGTAACATGGAGAAGGAGGAGTTAACTTGGAGAAGGAAGAAGAGGTAACATGGAGAAGGAGAAGTTAACTTGGAGAAGGAAGAAGAGGTAACATGGAGAAGGAGGAGTTAACTTGGAGACGGAAGAAGAGGTAACATGGAGAAGGAGGAGTTAACTTGGAGAAGGAAGAAGAGGTAACATGGAGAAGGAGGAGTTAACTTGGAGAAGGAAGAAGAGGTAACATGGAGAAGGAGGAGTTAACTTGGAGAAGGAAGAAGAGGTAACATGGAGAAGGAGAAGTTAACTTGGAGAAGGAAGAAGAGGTAACATGGAGAAGGAGGAGTTAACTTGGAGAAGGAAGAAGAGGTAACATGGAGAAGGAGAAGTTAACTTTGAGGAGAAGGAAGGAGAGGTAACATGGAGAAGGAGGAGTTAACTTGGAGAAGGAAGAAGAGGTAACATGGAGAAGGAGAAGTTAACTTTGAGGAGAAGGAAGGAGAGGTAACATGGAGAAGGAGGAGTTAACTTGGAGAAGGAAGAAGAGGTAACATGGAGAAGGAGGAGTTAACTTGGAGAAGGAAGAAGAGGTAACATGGAGAAGGAGGAGTTAACTTGGAGAAGGAAGAAGAGGTAACATGGAGAAGGAGGAGTTAACTTGGAGAAGGAAGAAGAGGTAACATGGAGAAGGAGGAGTTAACTTGGAGAAGGAAGAAGAGGTAACATGGAGAAGGAGGAGTTAACTTGGAGAAGGAAGAAGAGGTAACATGGAGAAGGAGGAGTTAACTTGGAGAAGGAAGAAGAGGTAACATGGTGAAGGAGAAGTTAATGTGGAGGAGAAGGAATAGGACGAAAAAAAGGAAGTGACGATCCCATGCATCTCAGTAAAAACTGAACAACCCGTCACTTAAATGAACCCACAACCTTTATAGCCTGACCACTTTACCATAGAGGTCCAGCATCATATGCCTAATACATGGCTACAACAGGTCCTACACTTACTTCTCACTTACCATAATTTTCGGCGTACAAAATATGATTTCACAATTATTTTTTTAAGTACAAATTTAGGGGTCCAATTATTCATAGAATGTGATTAAAACATTTGTTTTTTAATTTGGGCTTAAAAAAATTGGGATAATTTTTCACGGAAAAGGGGGGGGGGGGAGGGGGGGGGGGGGGGTGTGTGTGTGTGTGTTAAATAAGGAAAAATATTATATTTGTTATGCAAGAGATCTCTCACAAAACCACACTTTTTCCTTCAAGTTTTTCTGGCAAACCACACACGGGATAAAAATGTCTGAACCCTGTTAGTCACGGCAATTTGCACAACAACAGGTCCGTGAATTGCTGACATTCTATCGCAACGCTGATCAAGTTGTCTTACTTCCCTCTACTTCAGGGATCACCTGGCTATGGATGGAAGATCTTCTATGAAGACTGAGAACTAAGACAGAGGATTATTAGTGGCACAACATGCTGATTCTTGCCAACAGAATATGCTGGGCTAATGTCTGATAAGACCAAGGGTTAGCTGTCTGAGACACAGGAGGACAATTATTTAGGGGCAGGCCAGAGAGTTTTTTCAATTACGTAGTACATAAGAGCAAATGATGATTACTAAAGAATGTAAATGTATATCTGCCTTAGGGTGCTGGCCTATTTAGCAATAATGTGGTATGATGAATGATGAAGGGAAAAAATGTTTAGGAGCTTTATGTCAAAATCAGAATAAACAAATCGCTTATCATCCATCTATCCAAAGAGGTGTAGGGTAAAAAGATATTTTGGAGGCATGAATTACTAACTGAATTAGCTTTTTTCATGATGCACCCTGTCCAAGAAAGGCCTACTTGTAATCTATGAAACACGCAAAAACACCAGTCTTGACTTTTATATATATTTAAAATATATATAAAAGTCAAGACTGCAGCATCTTCAAAACAAATTTTGGCTTCCCCAGTGACAAGTGCCACCACTACTCTTAAATCAAAAAATCCTTATACACTTCAATTTTGATGTTGTTGAATGTTGAATAAGGAATCGAGATCACATCACTCAGAACACTCCCATAAGCGCTCAGTCCCCATCTTTAGCAGCAGAGTTCCAATTCCGATATATATAGTTACCAGTAACCGTCTGATTGTTTCAATATTTATTTTACTTTGAATTCTTTTTTGAATGATCTTGAGAAGTATTTTTGTTATATGGCTCATCAAACTAGCTTCTATAATCTTCACACTCAACGGCTTTTGACTTTGAATTAAATTAATTACTGAATGTTTATTATGTTAATTCCTTACCATTGCTAATTGCATGAGCTGTTGCGGCCAAGAAGCCAAAGGCAATATTTGTTGCTTTAGTCATTTTCCTCATACCTGTGCTATTGGTAGGCAACGCAAGGTTGAACGACACAACAAGAAGCAACTCCACATTTCTGATTTCGAACAACACTGAAACTAAAACACAGCAGGACTTCGACGTCTATCTCACTGCAGTATCAGTGTCAGTAACTAACTGACGAACAATCCAACTAACTCCTCTCCCAGATCAAATCAATCGATGTATGCCGTAGAAATTTCTAGAAAATGAAGCTATGAATAAACCTAGCATCCTTTGTTGAAACTCTTCATCCAGATATTATTGCGAAATAACTCGCAGCCATCCAATTTTCTGACGAAGTTTTCGTCTGTTTTATTCGCAGATTCACGTAGAAACATGAAAACTTTCTACGGCAGCCATTTTGAAAATAGTTCTGAAGACTACTGCTGTTTCTTTTATAATATATTTCTTCACTATAAATATTTATGAAATTGATTCAAAATACTCCGTAGGATGTTCTCGTTAAAAAAATATATTTAATTTTTTTATTATTGTTAGTCTTTTATTGATTATGCTACTTTAAATAGACAAGTAATAAAGATCTATATTCTGGCGTGTAGGAATAATGAAGGGTAAATAGTACATAACTGTTTTAACATAAGTGGATCCCACTTTAAACTATGTGTAAATAAAGGGAATAAATGTTTCTGTAAATTTATAAGGTACATATAACGAACTCAGGCTCAGCACACTGTGCTGCATAACGAAGTCGGGCCCAGTACACTGTTACTGTGTGCTCATTCAGGGGTGTCAGGTTGGTGCGACGTTGTATTGCGTCGACGGTCTTACCGGCTAATACGTCTCCTCTATATTATAGGATGCGAGCGCTTTTAACGACCCCATAACATGTACAACTGACCCTAACCCCAACTCCCCCCCCCCTACACCACACACTGAGCCTAGGTCCCACGAGGGAGTGCATTCCACACCCCGTGGTTTCAGACTTCCTAACATTTTGCTGTGGCCCACATCTATCATAAAAGCACCAGCAACCACTAATTCTGCTTACGAGTGAAAACACGTCAGCGACCGCTGCTCACAGAACAACGATTGAAACGGAATGCAGAAAGTTTTCTAAAGACAACAGTACACCGGGACACCCCTCTAACGTAGACAAGCCTGAGCAAGCGTCATTGACAGGTCAGCTAATGTGCAGCTGCGCCCGAGTTCGTTACTAGTAATATTTAGAAGCTGTGTAAAATTAATATAGCCATGAAACGAAAGTTGTTGACAGAAACACGTGGCACTGGAAGGGACTTCATTCGCGATATCGACTGAATGAATTTGTTTAGAAGTTGTATATAACTGGGAAAAAACGTATAAGACTGTGAACCCCACGTCATATGATGATGATGCAATTTAATATATCACTAGAATGTCAGTGCATTGGAACCCCAGGGGGAAACGAGACAGGGCGACACCTAGAGCACACCAATATGCATTTCAATGTTAACAAATTCGTTTATTTAATCAACATCATGTTATAGCACTCAAGGACCTCAGCCCACTGCCTATTATTTACATGGAACATTTCTTATGAGTCGACTAATTTAGAGTTTCATTCGAGGTCGGAGTGCATCTGTCTGAGAGGCAAGGAAAAAACAGGTTGCATACAAATGAGTCTGATCTGTAAAACAGATGTACATGGAGCACTCAGGTTCTGGAACAGGACTAGAATCCAGAAATGGACGAACAACTAGACCTTTCCACTGGAAAAAGAAGAAGAAGAAGAAGAAGAAGAAGAGAAGAAGAAGAAGAAGAAGAAGAAGAAGAAGAAGAAGAAGAAGAAGAAGAAGAAGAAGAAGAAGAAGAAGAAGAAGAAGAAGAAGAAGAAGAAGAAGAAGAAGGATGAGGATAAGGAGGAGGGGGATGAGGTAGTGAGGTGGCTGTAGTTATGTTCCTAAATTATGGGGGACGGAGTGGTGTGAAAGTGTTTGAGACCCCATCCCCTCATTTGTTTACCAAAGTGGTGAAGAGGGCGCGGTTATTTTTTTTTTTTTTTTTAATGTCGCACTTCAACCTCCAATTTAATGCCTAGAAAATGTGTATAAGGAAAGGATGGGGCAGCCCTTCCATGTTTTCTTTGTGGCGGCAAGCCTACCAACTATATCTAAGCTAAGATAAAGGCTGGAGTTTGTGTAGACAATGAAGAAGAATACAAATTTTTAAAAAGTGATATAAGAAAGCAAACAAATCCTCACGTCACCATCTGGGTTGTTGTTTCTACGGGGTGACACAAATACCAACAGGGACCACATTTGGAAATATATAAGAAAGATTTGAACTGGGAGTAAATAATTCCTTGCCTGATCCGCATTTCAAGTTACTTTGCAACCGCTGGGGGTTCCGATATAACCTTACAGCGGAACGGGGCTTACCGGGATTTGTATAAGTAGGATTCTACTCATTGAGGTGTTAATCGTGCAGACTATAATCCTGGGGAAAAACAAACTACCAACATGGCAGTATACGGCGCTTCTGAGTATAGTTTGACGCCTGCTAGATTGAGGCCAAACATAACCTTTGTGTCATGTTCTGATCTTAAGTTTAACCTTTATGTGATTCTCTGACCCACGCCTGGATCATCCGTGGTCCAATGGCTAGGCGATACCACGGCCTTCTCTATTTATAGGCCAAACAGGTCAAAAGGGGTCCCCGTTCTTGTGCAAAAATGGAGTCCCTCTGCACAGTTTGTATCGAGGAGACGTATACACAAATTAAACTAGTTTCATACAGACGGACATTGGCGATACTTATCAGAACGAAGGTTTAAGGTTCAAACCCACATAAAGACGAATTTTTGTAACAGGTCTCGGTTTTCATGGCTATTCAGCTGGCTCAAAATCAATCTGGAAAGACGGGTAGTGCAAAGAAAGCTACTGAAAGAAACGGGGGAAAAATAGCAGTCGGAAATTAAATACAGCATCGATGATCCGTTTCACGATTATACGGACTGTGTAAAAACCACTCTGTAGAGGCAAAAGTCGAAGACAGGAGAACAAGAGGCAGACAGCGATACAAACTAGAGAACAATATCAAGATCTAGACGAACGGTAGTCGGAGAGGGTGTACTACCAAGACAAGAAACAGAACGGCGTTGGAGATCCATTGCAGCCAATCTTCATTGTGGAGATGGCACCTAATTGGGTGACTGACTTCGGAATCATTTATTCTGTCCGGAAGTCTCAGTCAATCAATAAGAAAGATTGCTCGCCAAATAATAATAATAATAATAATAATAATAATAATAATAATAATAATAATAATAATAATAATATTAATAATAATAATAATAATAATAATAATAATAATAATAATAATAATAATAATAATAATAATAATTTTACAGTCAACATCTCATTAACAGCGCTGATTGACAATATTCAGGTGCACGTACGTTCATTCCTCCGTGTATGTTCACTCCCTTTGCCCTGTAGGATATCGCCTACTCGTAGGACTTGATCCACCTCGGTACCTGCTCTAAGCAAACCTTTAACTCAATACCGTATTCTACACCCACAGTCTCTTCCCAGACGAGACAAATCAAAACAAAACGGGTCTAACAAGGGCGCCACCATCAAGAAACCATGAGACGTACAGCGCCTCAGCACCTTTTTAGTTTTCTGGAGGGGAGGGGTGATTCAAGGTGCTTAAGCCTTGTTTAAGGACACAGTAATATAATAATAGTAATATATTATCTTCTCCTTTTTAGCGTTCAGCGGCTTTAAACTCCGGCAGAAAGTTCTGGTTGTTCGCCCACTCCTGGACTTAGGCTTTGATCTAGAACTTGTGCTTTGCGTGCCTATCTGTTTTACAGATCTGGGCTATTTGTAGACTAACGGTTCTTGCCTCTCGTGCAGATAGATACACTCCGACTTTGAAGGAAAACTCCCCTAATTAATCGCCTCATAAGACAAGCTTCTTGTGGTAAAAGGGGTGGGTGGGGGGGGGGGGTGGTGTCTACTAATATTAATAATGTTTTTATTATTATTATTATTTTTATTATATGTGGCGGGCGGCGTTCGTGGCTTAGGTGTTGTGAGTCCGACTCGTAATTCCAACGTACCGCAATCGAAACCCACTGCTGGCTACGTGGATTTGTTTCATGGTATGGGGCGTTGCAGGTTGACCCAGCCTAAATTGGGTACCATGATGAATGTCCTGGAAAAGTAAAGACGGCTGGCGTAATACTGACCACATTACCCACCTAATGCCGATTGGTCTGTAAAAATATGGATGCTCTCCCATATGCCCGATGCGCTTAAAAGGCGTGAAAAGGGATCTTTTTTGAGTGTAGGTGTCGTGAAGTGAACAGCCAACCCTATACTATGGACTAGTTGTGACGCTGACATCCCTAGAGGGCACGTCACATTTCAAATTTATACCCGTCCGGGGGAGGGGGGGGGGTATATAGTCCCTTATATTGATATATACCTCTATCTTGTGGAATAAACATTTCTAGACCCTCTGGTTGTTTTGAGAAGTCTACATTTTCAAACTTGCAACTGTTCGATAAATATTTCGGGAATATTATTCAGAAATTCATGTAAGCCTTTTTACTCCTTGGGCACGAATACAAGGACGTCGTTTCTATAGACGCCAAGCTTAGTCTGGGGCGGGCATTCTTTTGCCAGACCTCTGAGGTGTCGGGAGACTTTTTAAGTCGCTTATTAAATTTGGTGCTATCAAAATACCAGTTTAATCCTTGAAGGATTCCTAAGCTTGGGTAAGTTATTATAGTTTACGAGTACCATGATATATGTCTCTTTAAAGTTGGCCACTGCTGCAGAGAGGGAAGATGCGCCTGTGTGATAGCACAGAACTGGGCCGTTCTTTATATCCAGACACTCCAGGCCTTAAATCAAACCTTTCCCTTCACAGGCTAACTAGTTTGTGCCGTACATGACAGTAGGTAGCAAGATGG